ACCCTGGAGATGTACAGGTCAGCACAGCAGCACCGCAAACCATTATGTCAAAAATGAGTAGAATCGCCTTTTAAAAAACTAAATACTGTAATATTTTTCTGTTTATTGCAAGGGTTTTGTATTTCATTGCATTATACAGGTGTCTTGGTTACTGTAGTGAGGCAGGGTAGGTCGGTCTCAATGGTGTCTCTATGGAATATTCAAATCTTTGCTCTGAAAGTACTTTTCCTTGTTATATATTGGAATGACAGACATGATATTGTAAAACAAGACCAACAGGAAAGATGAGAAAAAGTCTTGTTTTGACTACAGCAGTGCTCTAGTTTACACAAATCCTGGAGATGCAGAGGTCAGCATTTTACAAGGTAAATGTATCAATGGAGGCAGCACCACCAACGACAGCCTGATAAATAGCCACAGAGCTAAACGACTTCCTCTTGGTCACAAACCGAATGCAAGTTGAAGGAACAGTGACATTTTGGGAAATTTGTTTATATGTCTTAGATTTAGTTGAGAAGCACAATAGCGCTCTCATCCGTGTAGTAAATAGTATGCTACAGCCAGAGGCAGTTAGCTTAGCTTAGCACAAACACTGGAAATGGGAGAACTGCCAGCCTGTTCTCTCCAAAGGTATCAAGGTCCATCTAAAATTACTTCTACAACACATTAGTTAAATTGTGCCATCTGGCTCATTTAATCCATAGAAAAATTCATGTATAAAAGCCTAATTGTAAAAACAACATTAAATCTTCCCTAACACACAAAACCCCATAACATCTACAAGACATTGTAAAATAGCACAGAGACTGTTTTTATATACAGTATTTGTTTAAAACGGATAAACTCACATTTTCGGATTCTATATCTTGCATCTATGTAGTTTGAATTGACTTAATGAGAGACGCTTTGGACAAAAGGAATTGTAATGTAATGAATTTTAACCTTTGCCTCACCTTCACCAGGCTGCTGGGTGTGGACAGGGTGGTGATCTACAACACCAGCTGTGGTCCAGAGCTCCACCGACTCCTGCAAAGATACACACAGGAGGGCTTTGTGGAGATGGTTCCCTGGCCCATTGACCAGCACCTAAATCCATCTCGCGGTTGGCTCTTCTCAAAGCACGGAGGGGATGTGCATTATTTTGGCCAGCTGACCACACTTAAGTGCATTTACAGATCCATGAAACGATCACGCTACGTCCTGTTGAACGACATAGATGAGATAATAATGCCATACCAACACAATGACCTGATGGGCCTGATGAACATGTTCCAACAGCAGCATCCAGATGTAGGGTATTTTGGGTGTGCATTTTGAGAATATAACATTGCAGCAAGACATTCTTATTATATTTAGAAGCTATTTCCTATATTTTATTTTCTTTCCAACTTTTCATCCTGCAATTATTTAACCTGAATCCATGTTCTGTAGGCCGGGGTGTTCCTCATAGAGAACCATTTCTTTCCTAGAAATCCATTTGATAAAAGTGCAAACAGGATGATGCCTCAATGGAGAGGGGTGCCAGGCTTTAATATTCTGGAACACATCTACAGGAAGGAGCCTGACAGAACCATAAACCACTCCTACAAGATGATAGTGAAGCCAAGGTAGGACTGCTCAGACTACTTAATGAAGTTGCAAAAATGTTATCTTTTGAGAAAAAGTGTTTAAAATTATTAAGTAGCAGTAATGTGATGGTAAGTAAATATGTGGTTGACCATGTGTGAATGTTTATGTGCACCTCAGGCAGTGGAGCAGACCTCAGTACATGAAGTCCTTAAGATGTTTGGTCAATTGGTCAGTTCAAGGTTCCACTGGACATCTGTCGGATCATTCATAGTAAATTCAGTACTACAAGGTTTGGCAGGCGAGTGTAGCAGGGCACACACCGCACCAGCACGCAGTGACTACATCACTTCGAGGGTGGTTTTTGGATGTGAGGTTGGAGAGCTCACATCTAAAAGATATTTCTCCAAACCACTATGAGGTCAGTCTGACACCAACATGAAAGTATGTCTTATTGCTCCTGTCTCTTAATATTTACTCCAGACACTGTTGTACTTGAGTCACTAAACTATTCCGAGTCAAGTCTCGAGTGCCCAGTATTCGAGCCTGAGGCAAATCTGAGTCACCAAACAATAATTTGATTCCGAGTCGAGTCCCTGTTGCTCAAGTCAGAGTCATTAAGGTCTACATTAAACACAACCGACAAAGCTCTCACCATTTTATATTCCAAACTTTATAACAGTGTATTGCGTCACCATATTGCTCAGCAATTTGATACATAAAAATTATTTATAGAAAGGTACAGCACAGCACAATGCTCAACCAAATACAGTCAGTGCTTGACTCATCAATGCTCAAGTCCAAGTTGAGTCACGAGTCCTAAAAATCTGGACTCCAGCCGATTCAAATATTAAACACCGACTCCAGACTAAACATCTGGATTCTATAATATCCCCATTCATAAAGATGACCGCAAGTACACAGCATATACAACCCCAGCTGGACTCTACGAGTATAACCAAATGGCCCAAGGGCTGTGTAATTTTTACCTATTTATTTTCCTTGGCTTTTAACACCTAGTAGAGTTGGATATTCTGTTTTAATTATGGCTTTAGGTCTTTTTGTATTTGTATTCTTTAATTCTTTGTAATAATTTTATTAAGTTTACAATTTTATCTAGGTATATGTGAAGTACTTTAGTCAACACAATGCTGTTTTTCAAATGCTATATAAATAAACTTGATTTGATTTGATAATAGCTCAGCAACCTTTACTCATATGATGAATGAATGGGGTGCAGGATGATGGATGAATATTTGGGGACCAAAATTATCTTTCTCTGCTGCGTTATTTGGATGACCTCCTCATTTTTGGAAAGGATGAGCAGGAAGCTTTGGAATACTTGTAAATGGCATTCTCCCATCTTAAGGAGCACCACTTGAAATTGGCACAGTTTCAAGGCAATAATGGAGCCAATTAAACAGCAGTTGTGGGAGTCAATCCAGACAACATACATAGGGGAGCAGGACCAGCCCAATAGAAACAAGGTCCAGAGGATGGTGAGGACATTTATCGACAGATCACCCAAGATCCAGTGAGATCCAGAGAGTTCTAAGTACAGCAGGGAGAAAACACTTAGACATTTTTTCTTGATTTATACAAATTAGTGCTAAATCTTAGTTAATTCAGCTGTAACTGCTTCAAACGGTTGATAAATTCATTGTGAAGTACTAAATAGACGTATTATATCAGGCTCAAGTAAATGATTGTTCAAAATGAGTATATGTGGGAATTTCAAACATTAATAGGAACAATAAAGGAATCCACTGTCCAGGAACCTTCCGTGCTTTATAAACCCTGGTGACTTAGACAATCCATTCCTTTTTATTCAATCTCACACAGAGGTCACTGTGACAGATAATGTACTGTATTTCCTGTATGCTGTTATTTTAGTCTAACATAGAAATTAGAACAGGAAAAGCATGAGCCTAACAAAGTCTAACACACTCTCCATTCCCTCATCAAAAGCAAAGGAGTCCCCCCCACACATATTGGTGTCAGACACATTTAAAAGGCATCATCATTTGGAAACTATTTATTGGACATTTGCAACCAGATATCGGTTAAATACAGAACTTTCATCTCTCTCTCTCTCTCTACAGTATATCCCCCAGCAGCAAGGACCGGCTCCAATTCATTACACTCTCACAGGAGGGAATGTTACAGGACTTGGTAAGGCGCAAACTGTGCTGGAACTCATTGGGCTTTCTGTCTTCTGATAATAAAGAGCAACGATAGCTGAGTAGATCCCTTAAATATACGACACTGCTGCCTCCTCTCCTCGCAGCCATTTCACCTGTGGCTGGGTGCTTTTGTGAATCCTGAGCACAGACCATGGTGAAATGACACAATGAGGAGGTAAGAAGAGAAAACCAGTGCAGACGAGTGAGAGACTCTTCTACTGAATGTCTCACATGTGTAGCCATGTTCGAAAAGCTAAAAGTAAAATGATCAACATGAATATATTAGAAAAATGGCAATTAGTCTTTAATAAACACCTCGCCTCAAATACTCCCAACACGACCAGGATTATTATTAAAACTGTCCAAATAAAATCAATCAACCAAGACTCTGTGCCCATTCAGTTCCATTTCAAGACTGGAAAAATCCTCATTTACAAAACAAATGGCACTTTTCAGTCTCTTGAACTGGAATCTAGAATCTTGACTCCAATGGAATCGACCCCCCAACCCTAAAATCAACTCTTTCTAGTTTACATAAGTGGGTCAGCTTCAAGCCTCCACCGTTCTAGCAGTTGTTCCCCACAGGACAGGGAGACCCCTGTGGTCTCTGAGGGCTAGGCCACAGTTTTGAAGGTCTGCAGTATGAGGTTGGTTTGATGGATGAGCCGGTTTGCACTGATGAAGACATTTATTGCTCTGGGAAGAAAGAAAATTCCAACTTCAAAAGAGAGCAGAAAGGCTGGCAGATACAGTTTAAACAAATAGTAAACTGACACTGAGGAAACGGAACATAAATGCAGCAAAGCTGCTTCTGGACAGTCCTCAGGCATATTTTAATGGATCAGTGTAAGATAAGATAAAGCGATCAAATGTGGCTCCTCCTTTACTTTTACTCTACTGCGGTTCTTAACATGCGTGGGTATTGTCTATGGTGCATGCATGTTGGGACATACCTTTTTGGAGGAAAATTCATTGTTTAGTTTAATCACTTGATCGGTAAAATAGCTAACAAATTCACCGATAGAAAAATAATCTTTATCAGTTTCCACGAGGCTGCCAGGGACCTACCTTAAAGGTATCAATGAATAATAGGAACAGTCATCACACCAAATAATTAATACATCTCAGCACCAATCTGTCTCCATTTCCGTACAACAGAGTTGAAGTAAAATGATGTTTGAAAACAGTATCCCTGTTAACATTCACACAGAGCTCTCTATATAAGCAGCACAGTGATGAGCCGAAGCTTCATTTGGGTCGCTCTGTTTATACTTACTTTCCATCTTTGAAGTACGTTTTGAGGGTGTCGCTGAAACTTTTAGAGTATTTCACAAACTCCTTTTTCTGGTGCTCCAGGGCCTTGGCGAGCAGCAAACACACACAGAAACATCAATAACAAACAACAAAAGATGTGAAACATATACCGGCCTGTTGTTGTGTATGTCTGTTACTCACTCTGCGATTCTGATACTGATATTTCTTAATGACATTGTTGACTGTGTCCAGAAGCTCTTTTATGGCACTGGCTATGTCTCTGTGGGAAACCAAATGTAACATCAGTGAGAATACAGGATTTCACAACAGCACTCAACCAAAAGCTATGAGCAGTCAACACAAGTGGTATTTGCACAGCAACAATGAATTAATCAGTGAAACATTTGCACTATCCTCACCTGTGACAGCTTTAGCTCTAATGCAAGATATAACTGATTAGTGGCTTTAGACATTTTTTCAAGAAACAATAAGACCATTTAATTCTCTGGTTCCACCTTGTCCAAACCAAAGTTTTGCTGCTTCTAAGTTTTAGATCACTCTAAAGTGAAAATCAGTGGTTCTGACAATGTTGGTCAAACAAAGCAGAATTTCTGAAGACATTACTTTTGATTCTGGGAAACTTGTGATGGGCTTTTTTTTCCAAAGTATTTTCTGACATTTACAAAGTATACAATTAATCTAAAAAATAATTAGCAGAATAATCTATTAATATAATTCTGAATAACCAGCTTATGCATTAATAAAAATCTATCCAATTTACTGAACCTCATACAGATATATGATATGACAGTGAGGAGATTTCTTGCTGAAATGCACGTGGTCAATAAAAAGCAGTATTTTACAGTGACAGGTGAGAAGGGCATAATGGTGTTACACTAGAGATATTTTCATTATTTTCTACTAGCCGAGTCTGCGTAGGTCAGCAATCAATGTCAAAATCTTGACTTTAGATCAAGCGATACATGACTTGACAGAATGCATTGTAGCGTGAGACTAGTGCCCCTGCAATACAATGCTGGAGAAGTTAAAGTCTCTGCAACCCATGACACAGATCAGTGCTTCTGTAAACAGCTACTTATTTCTCAACAACTGCACCCTTTAAAAAAGCACAGTGTGTTGGTCAGTCTGTGCGCTCTCACTCACTTGATAGTCTGTAGGAAGCGTACTCTGTCATTGATCTCATCTGGGATTTTGCTAAGGATGTGTTTCAGAGCTCTGGCCTTCCCATTTAGGTCCTGGAACTCTTGTTCAGGCCGGTCAATCATGAACTCTGCAAAAAAAAAAAAAGGGTGTGTAGCATATTCCCAGAGACTCAATCATTTACATAAATATAGACAAACAGGCTGGCGAAACATAACACAATCCTGGTGATGAGCGCTCACCAGGATCTCCAGGAATACTGGATGTCCAAATCACAAAAGACCATCTGCACCTCGATATCTCAGTACCTCTTTCTCTCTTATACTCACCTTCCACATCATCAGCTGCCATGCGCAGTAGGGATTCAGTAAAGTTGATTTGAACATTCTTTTTCTCCAAGATCTTCATTATGATGTCCTGAGTGAGACCAGGGTTCTCTCTCTCCGCCTGACAAAAGAAGAGTTAAGTTATGCAAGAAGGTTGAGGAAGAGAAGTAATCATATATGAGGAATATAAGGTGCAGCACACTTTGACTTCTCCAACAAAGGCGAGAGTGCATTAACGGTCGCAGAGAACAAAGTTAGAATGTCAGATATTTGCTGTGAGCATTTCAAATACACAAAAGTTCTCCGCCTAAATAATTCAAGCTTAAATTACACCCGTCAGGAATCTGCAGGGGCAGCAGAGAGACCAATCAGTGAGACAAGTCAATGAAAGACCCACAAATGTCACATTAAAACAGCTGTAAGGTGATCAGCTCTCCCTCCGCTCCCTGCCTCTCCATCTTTGATATTTCATCTGCGTACACAGTGAACACTACTGCTCATCAGCAGCAGCACAGAGATAAGATATGACCATAGCCAGTGTAATCACAACAGTGTAAATATAACAAAAAGATGATCAAGACATTAACAAAGTCTCATCTGATGACTGCAGTCGGGTATTACTTTTAAAAAATCACAGCACCAGTTTGGATTAAGGTACCTTTAATATTATATTAATACCAGCTGAGATAATTCACTTCAACATCAATCATGTAAAAGGAGATGCTCAAGTATAATGAACATCATATAAAGTGAATCTAATGACAAAGATGAGATTGAAAAACTAATCAAAACAATTTATATGTCTTCATACATTATTAATTTAAAATCTCACTGGATACTAGAATGGAATACTAGAATGGGCTATGCTGTATGTGCGTTTTAAAACCAGTAATCATCCAATGTCTCACGTTTGGAAACGGAACTGAAACAATCAGTTGATTAGTCAGTCGGCAGAAACTTAAAAACGCAGCAGCCCCGTGGTTCAACTTTTACCACACCAGACAGTGATATCATCCGGTAAAGGTGATGCGTTGATCATGTACAGGGGACAACAAAATATTAGAAGAATATTTCAAAGAAAGTTACATATTGTAGCTTTAAATGCAACTTGATTATAAATCCAGTGTGACACAGGAACATATTGGGGATTATTTACTGGGATCATTTTACTTGAGTTAATGCAGTGTATTGTTTTCATTAGACATTTCTATGAACTGAAACTTGCATCAGGCAAAATATGAATGACTTCACTGTTCTGTCATCCTGAAACTGGAAAGTTACTGTGACAACCACCGTCCCAGTCAATGTATATACTGTTTTATACAGTATGTTCCCAGGAAAAGTGTCCTCAAGGAAGGAACTGAAACTTTGGCAGATTGCTGAGAAGAGTATCAGATAAAATGTACAGTACATGCAATTGCAGTGTTTTTTAAACACAATGGGGAACTAATTGCAACCTAAATTCAAACCAAAGATATTATGACATACATATATTTACTTCTACTGCATCTTTCAGGTCATCTGATCCATGCATAGTCCTACCTTTATGAAGGCTGCTCTGAGTGTCTGAGCTGCTGATAGGTTGATCCTCTCCAGCTAATGGAAAAAAAGAAGAACACACAACATCACTGCCAAATATGGACACGTATCACGTGGCATCTGACTAGGAGTTGCATGGGTTTCAAAGGCAGCAGTGTGCTAAATCAGACTTCACTGCTCTATCAAAACAGCAAAACCAGATGCAGGTTTAAGTTGTCTTACAGTGAAATTTTAAAAGCTTCCCTGTCACTGTGAGGTAGGGCCAATTTCAATATTTTTGCTTCTAGCTACAAAAACAATGCCTACAATGCTTGGACAAAAATTTAACAATAACATCCACATAAGATTTACCACACAACACAGTCTGATCTGGATCCAAAAAATATTCCGGATGCGGTGATCCAGAATCTTCAAATTCTGGGGCTAATGAAGAACTTGGTACTATGAGACAACAAATAATGCTACACACTTACAATTAAGACTGAAACTCTTTTGACTCTGTAGGATGTGAGCAACTTTGATGTACCTTCAAATGTTACTGAGCTAGATCCAGAAGAAAGCCACCATTACTGAAATATCGTTTTTCTTGAACAACTTCCACACTAATAATGTTATCAGTGTGATTCCACATGCCAGCAGTAGGTTTTTATAGGTCTAGGAGTCATATTATGAATGTCAACTATCACAGGAATACTGCTTTTACTGTAGGTGTAATGGCATTATGGCGAAGGTTTACCCGCTGTGTGCTGTCTAGTTCAATGTATATTTTAGCACTGACTCTAGTTACACTTTGGTTGTCAAAAATGCATTTTTATTAGCCTAATGCAAATCTAAAACATTTCATATAACATGCTGCTACTATAAACTGGCCTCATTCCCTCCTAAATGGTGCATGAATGCTTGTATTAGATTGACCTCCCCAGTTTCTTTTTTTCATTACCTAACACAGCAGAACACTGACATCTTCTGTTTAATAAAAGGTCAAACCAATCCTGTATGAATACAGTTTAACACGCTGCTGCCTAACAGTTTACAAGATGTGAGTGCTGTCATCACTGGATGTTTTACCTCATTGAAAACTGGGTACATCACGGCATACAGTGTCATGGATACCATGGAATTTGTCTCAGCTTCATTTTTCATCTCCTCCATTGTCATCCTCCAGTGAGGAGCAGCTCTAGTGAAATGATGACGAGGAAACTGAAGCTCACACACACTCACACATACACTCACCCACTCACACGCACACGCACTCTGAAAACCAGATGAGCTCCAGAGTGCAAGAGCCTGGAAAAAAAATAAGAAAGACAAAAGCAGGGTGTTGATAAAATAAGGTTTATCTGAATTCTTCATAGTTTTTTAATTTAAATGACAAGGCAATAGACAGTGCAATAAATTGTAAATATAGCCTCTCTATATATATATATCTATATCTATATAAAAAAGTGTGAAAGCTTTTCTGTAGTTCTGTTTATTCTAGTATATATATGCTACTTAAATGCCCACAGTTTATTTTTCATTTTTACTGTTGCCTTACAACACAGAGCCTCTGTTCCAGAGTCAAATTCCTGTATGTTCAAACATACCTGGCCATTAAGATGATTCTCATTCTGATGAAGTAAATATAGTTAACAGATACAGTAAAGATGCACTTTGATGAAATGTATAATTGTCTTTGATATGAACAATCTATGTCAAATACATGTTCTTTATCAGTGTCAATATAACATTATGTGCAATCAGTTCATTCACAGCTGTTTGCTAACAAATGTCATCAATTGTAGGCCTCATCTTACCTTGTATATAAATTATTCCAATCAGTCCCTCACAGTGAAATATAGATTTTAAGCAGAGTGCTGATTTCAGAAGAGTACCTGTTATCAGTAGACACCCTGAGTTTAAGGATTGGAATTTGTACTGGGAGAGAAAAGGTTGGTTCTATATGACATTTTACAAATAAAGCACAAACCTGTCAACAGTCTCACTGTATTTATATTACCTTAATTATCTCAAATATTATTACCATAAAGTATTTTGCATTCCTGTACTGCAGTGTCATGTAGGGCAGGAACACACATTTATTGTCTATATCAACTAATCTATACATTATTTTTAGTTAATCAATTCATCATTTTGTCTATAAACTGAAAATCAGTTAAAATTCCAGTTATAATTTTCTGCAGACCAAAAGGACATCTTGAAATGTCATCATGTTTTGTCTGGGTAACAGCCCAAAATCCAAAGAGCTCATGTGTAACAAAGAAAACCATCAAACCCTACCATTTTGCAAAATGAAATCATCAATATTTGGCATTTGTGTTTAAAAAGATGACTAAAAGGATAATATATGATCAAAATAGTTGCTGATTGATTTTCAATCAACTATTAGTTGCAGCTGTAGTTTCTTATTACTTTTTGGTCAACATATAGGTTACACTGATATGAATATGCCAGTCAATAGGGTATACTTAAGTGCTACTGGTTAGCTGCAGGAACCAGCAAGAAGTCAGGATTTGTTGGTTTGTTTTAACTGGAGAAAGGGAGTGGCACAGTTATGTGTTATATTACCTGGCATCTGACCGCAAGGTCAATGTAAAAACTTAAATGTATAATACTTTAAATATTAAGTAAATAAGGAACTTTCATTACAATTAAGAACTCCCCTCCTATTTCATAATTGTTTTAATATACTGATAGAGTCAGATTTAAAAGGCCATGGCTTACAAAGGAATGTTTTGTACTGCAGTTAGGTTCCTAGTGAACTAAATAGCAAGCATTTAGGTATTCGACTAGTCTGATCAAAATATTTTTGACAAACAGTGACATTACTGCTTGTCAGTAAGAGCATCTGATAAGATAGATGGCTAACTAGCAGGCTAAACCGACTAGCCAACTAGATGACCCAAGTAACAGCTCGGCATGTTGGGTACGGCTAATAAAGCAGCCGACGTATAGGTAACCAGACGTTCGCTGTTTTATTTAAAGTACTAAACTACAAAAATCTAATGTCGGAAAACTCACTGACTCGTAAAGTGACAAATTTATCGCGATTTAGCTGTAAGGATGCCCACTTGAGGCCTATGGCCGAGCAGATCGATGATAGCGAAGTGCTAGCAGTGAACAGCGTAGCTTACATGCTAGCTACAGTAAATTGTAGATTTCTACTTGCTGGTGAGCTAAAACACGTCAACGAGATGCTTTAACACAAATCTGTAAGTCGGTATATGCGTACCAAATGTGTACTCGTATGTACCTTTGGTCAGATTTCTTAAATAGACTGGTTACGATGTCGATTACCTTTCAGCTGCTATGTTTTCTTTACTTAAGGCGGAAGTTTTGTAGGACTGGCCTGAGCGACATCTTCCGCACCGTCTCTACGTAAACACACGCCCTCCAATCAGAGGGCGGACGGATGGCGTGCCTGTGACGTCATATAATATAGTTATATTTCTGTTATTGTAGTATTTTTAGCTACTTTGGGAATCATAATACCGTGTTTTGAAGGGAAGGGGGAAACGTCTACAGCATCGATTTGCAAATTCCAACTTGGCAGTTAAGAGGAAAGATAAAGGAAACTTAGGTTACAATGCTGAGCGACCGATTCTCTGTTTTTGTACCCCTTATTGTTAGGTGTTAAACATGGGTCCAAGTTAAAGCCTTAACGCTGTTAAGAATATACAAACTTGCAAAACCTTTGTTGTAATTAATAAAATCAAAAACCACTTAATTTTCTCCATTCAGACAACACAGACCGGATCGGTCTTAAAAGTCTCTGCATTTTTGTTTAGCAAAGCTGAATAGAATAATCAAATATTCTAGCAGCTCTGAATGTTTAAAAAACGGTTTCAGATTTATAAATCATTAATTATACACATAGAATAAATGTTTTGAAATCCGAAACTTTCCAACACTCCTTTGGATGTCACCAGGGATATTTAAACATGTGCTTTCTTAATGAAAAGCCTGTATTACGGTCAGCAGCTCATTAGTTAGGCGACCTCTAGCGGCCGTAGTAGGCTACTTATGATAAGAGCAAAGGAGAACTTGAGGTTAGTGGATCAACAAAGGAGGCTAGTGAGGATGGATGGGTTAAAACAAGGACTCAAAACCACAGGTCTTTTAAACAAAAACTAGTTTGTTTGACGGTATCAATCGTATCTACATGTTTACATATTATTATAATCATGAGAAAGAATGTTATTTTAACCCATAATCTTTAAACCCCCCCAAAATTGCTTTTGTGTATAAACCAAACTAAACCCTGATGTTCCATAATGGCAACCATGGGTTTAACGTTGCTTCCATGATAACCAAGCCTGGCACACTAGTTGGTGTGGCTACAATTAGTGCCATTTGGCTTACTGTCAGAGGGGTGCACCTCTCTCTTATAGGAATGCCCCTGATCCCATTCACACAGCAACAACTTTGCACATGGGAGCCCCCAGTACAACCAGTCTGACCTGCTGGCAGCTGAGCAGCTCAACTGGAGCAGTTAGGGTTAAAGAACTTGCCCAAGGGTACTACATGGTGTTTGATGAGGGTGGGGCAGGTGCTGTTCTGTCCCACCCAAATTTCATCCAGCTGGTCCAGACATTGAACTGTGATGTTCCAGTCAGAGGACACTCATTTCTTTACCTTTTACGTCAGCAATGCCACAGCTTGTTAACCTCACATGACCTATTCTGCTACCATATTATTGTCTTGAGTTGCCTGATGGCTTGAAAACTCGAACATGGCAACCTTTTTTTCATATCTAAATCCTTCCCACATCACATGAACATGGCATAATGAAAGAAAGACACTATCCAGTTGCTATAAAATTGCATGGCCTAGTGGTTTTGAAATGTGCCCTACACTAAGGACTTAAAGTCAGGATATCCCAGCTTCTGCTCCATTCCTTTTACCAGTTTTGTTTTAGAATATCTTTCACAGGTTCTTGATCTTTATGAAAGTGCAATACTAAAAAGAATTACCCAATACATGTTCTATAAAAATAACAAGTGAGGTTAAAACATAGTTGCAATAAAACAGAGTAAAAACAATAAAACAGTTCAAGAAAATGCTAAGGAAAGAAAAACACTTATGAGATATTTAAAAGAGTAAACAGCTAGCCTGCTTGATCTCCTCTGGGAGGTCGGAGGTCCTAAATACAAAGGATTAGTCTCCCCTGTTTTAGCCTTATTTGAGAAAAATATTAAAAGCGCTTCACTTTACCAACTGAGAGCTCAGTTAGAAGTGGGGGAGGGTTTGAGGTGTGGCTAATAAGACTGATGAGGCATCTGGAGTCATGCTTATGTTTATGTAGCATGCGCATTTTTAACTTCCAAGCCTTCCAAGGTCAGTGGAAAGTTTTGTATTCCCCCATTATGTTTTGCTCAATCACAAGTTTACGCATCTTCTTTACAATGTTTTAACAAAATTTATGGGCAAATAATATTGTTTCTTTTCCCTAAATTACCTCATAAGCATCTCCATATCTTCTCATTATGTTTTTCACAAAGTTCAAAGATTTAATTCTTAGTTTATAAGACTGTAGAGACCATCCTACAGGCTGTCAGTTGAGTTGTCTGTTGTCTGAAAACAAGTTTGAACAACTTTGAAGACAGATTTGTAACACTTAAAAAGTGAAGCAGCTTTTTAAGACTTGTAAATCTTTTTTCAGTCATTTGAACCCCATTTTTAAACACATTTACACATTCCAAATATATTTTCAACTTTTCAAATCCTAGTTTCAGAGTTACAGATTGTGACTTCAAGGTTTTCAGATTGTCTATAACAGGACAATGATCCAAAGCAGTCCCCAAAATCTATCATGCACGAACACAAGCTGAGGCTTTTGGAATGACCCCGGTTGCCCCCGAGTTGATTATCATTGAAAATCCGTCCATAGGTCCTAAACATGCTATGCTTGCAAGACAACTTAAAAATATTTTAAAATTTTAAGTAATCTGGGTGAAAAATCCCAAATCAAAACTGTTGGTTTCCTATAAAAAACATAAGGTGTGAGACAGCCCCAAGGTGGGGCATTGATTTAGAAGGGCACCCGAACATTTTGCAAATGCCAGATACACGTTTTTATGATCATTAAAAGCAACTCTTAACAGTACATAAACATTTGTAGAAATGCTAATTTTCAATGTCTGCAGCAGGAGTCTTATATTCAAAAATCAACAAAATATGTGTGTGTCCTCCAACTTTTGCATACAGCTACAGGCCACACACATTGTGATGATCATATGAGAAATGGGCTAATGCAAACATAGGACATCCGCATCAGCCATAACGATTAAGAAATAACTCATTACTGAATTGTAGGACCTAAGCGTCCTGCATATTCATTTCTGAGGAAGAGTCGAAGTCAGAAGAACCTTTAAAATATTTATTACAACCTTGATGAAGAAAAAATGTTAAAGACAAGCAATACAGAGCTCTGGGTTCCGTTTCTATCTGAAGCCCTATCACACAGAGAAGTATAGTGCATAGCTGCTGCAGGAAGGCGGAACCCAGAGTTTCCTCTGCATAGAGAACTTATAATAAGAGTCATGCAAATGATCTGACGTCATCCGCATTGTCCTTCATCCTCGTTCCTTGGTTGGTTTCTTGACCTCGTTCTGACCCCTGATTTGGTGATCTTGTCGCCAGGCAGATTTTGAATTCTCAGTACAACATATCCTGACCTTTCAATAGACAGTTTTAGAGGAAGCACCTCTAGTGTTGCTATGCAACTGTGGTCTACTTCCTGTACGTGGTTTCCTGTCTACTCTTACAGCCTTACACATGTCTCCTCTATTCTTGAAGACAAGTGAACTGGTTAAAGCAAAAGTAAATCATAAAGCATATGATACTATTACAATGCATATGATACAAAAATAAACACGTAGATATATTTGCAAATGCAGATTATAATGTGAATCCTAGAATTTCATATGTTGATACATGTTGATAATCTGAAGCCAAGACAATCAGACCTTACACCCACACACTATTCTCGTGCAGACAGTTTAGTCATCTCAGTATGTATCTGCACGACTTCCTGTTGTTCTGAGTCTCTCTGCGCACAGCATTTCATGGGCACAGGTCAAGTCTTTCCAAAGGTCAAACAGATTAAACAATTATTTGAACAGTTTTGCAAATACATAACATAGCACTATATCATTTTATCAAGAATTTCTTTCTACAGAATAAATAGTTTTATGACATAATTATTACCAATATAATCATGTTATTAAACAGTCTGAGGGACACCTTATAGACATCCTGCATCATAGAAGGGTTAGACACAGCCATGCCTCTCTGATTCCATCTCCACTGAACTCTCTTCTTCCAATTGCAGTATATGTGCTACCAAAATAGGAGAACTCTCTAGAATGGAAAATTTTACAAGCGAGACAAACCCTGATCTGTCTGTGATGGTACCACGCCATCATCACGGGTAAACCAGAGAGGCGAAGTGTGATTGGCTTGCCTCGCCCGATCGGCTGAACGAGGGAGGATCTATTGTACGCAGTAGGGCCAGCGAGGGAGGGCCACGGCTCGGTGTTTTTAGGCAAGAGGTAATGGAAAATTTTACAAGCCAGACAAACACTGATCTGTCTGTGATTGGTACCACGCCGTCCTCTAACCAATCCATCATCACCGGTAAACCAGAGAGGCGAAGTGTGATTGGCTTGCCTCGCCCGATCGGCTGAACGAGGGAGGATCTATTGTACGCAGTAGGGCCAGCGAGGGAGGGCCACGGCTCGGTGTTTTTAGGCAAGAGGTAATGGAAAATTTTACAAGCCAGACAAACACTGATCTGTCTGTGATTGGTACCACGCCGTCCTCTAACCAATCCATCATCACCGGTAAACCAGAGAGGCGAAGTGTGATTGGCTTGCCTCGCCCGATCGGCTGAATGAGGGAGGACCTATTGTACGCAGTAGGGCCAGTGAGGGAGAGCCACAGCTCGGTGTTTTTAGGCAAGAGGTACTGGAAAATTCCGTTCATACAGGCGAAGGACCGTTAGAGAGAAATACCGGCACTGTTTTCTATTAAACGAACTTACAGCTATCTTTACACTCGAAGTGGAAAAAGGGTAAGAGAGTTTCCGATTCTACTTCTGGTCCGCACGTGCGATTCATTCATTTATTAGTTACGAGTTTTCCCCGTTTTTAATACAGGCAAGGCATGTACTAGGTGTTGACATTTTAATGTATAATGTGCTCTTATTGTGTTTGTATTTATATTGTATATTGCATATTGCATATTGATTTGTATGTGGTAGTGATCATGTGACGTAATTAGGATTTGAATGATTGCACCTGAGTGTTTTTAGTATTGGTTAATAAAAGGAAGTGCGTTCACACAAATTGTGTGAAACGCTAAAGCAAGACGACGTTGTTATCGTGTGATGTTTGGTATACTCTGCTAACACTACGTATATGCAAATTGACATTGGATTATGTGTAAAATTATGTGTGTTGTCATATCAACTGTTTTTACATGCTTAAAAGAATAAATCAAATCAAATCAAGGCGCTCTAATAAAAATAGTTAGAAAAAAATTTTTTAGGCATGAAAGTCTAGAGATAACATCTCATTTTACAACACGGCACGACGGCAGCTTCAGTTATGTTGTGACGTATTAAGGAAATGCAGTATTAACATTACCCACAGTACAGTGTTTTGCACACTTATAGAGAGAAGTTGAATTAGTTCTGTTTCTTTCCCGTTTATTTACAGACTCTGCGGACATGTCTCTGAACATTCACATCAACAGCCCTAATGTGGTTTACACAGATACACACATTACGGCTCGGTACTCCTATCAGACCACATCAGTGCAGAGAAAGGGCAACAAAGTCACGGTAAGCCAGCAGCTTTGGTCACATTTTGTCAAATGTTTGTGCGCACACACGCATCTGTGTGTACAGCCTCAGACTAGCTCTGCTCCGTGTGTGATACAGGTGAGTCCCCGCACCACCGAGATGACATTTCGCACTGAGAGGCGGGTACCCCGGCTGGGTGTGATGCTGGTGGGCTGGGGGGGCAACAACGGATCCACCGTCACAGCAGCTGTACTGGCAAACAAGCTGGGTCTCTCCTGGAGGACCAAGACTGGGGTAAAGGTGAGTAGAGCAATACAGACGTACCCGTACTCACACAGACAGGGAGTAAATTGCTGGGCCACTTTCATTTGATATAGCCACCGGCCAAACATGAAGTTGTAACGTGCATTAGATCTGAGATGGGAAATCAGCATACTGTAAACATGCACATTTAAAACATAGCAATAGTAAACATGATGTTTGTTCCCTGTGTGAACTATCTCAAGCAACTTTCAAGTCTCTGCAAGTCGACTGTCATACTGCATTGAAATGCTTGCACATCACATCTCCTGACCTGGGGGTAAGAAAAACAAAGCTCTAATGGTTTTCTTGGAAAAAGGAAACTAAAATATAAAGCTTGTATTATTTTTAGCAAAGCTTCCAAAGCATGCTAATACAATGCTAATTATGAGTGCAGAATAAAAGTTGAATGGTAAATAATTTCCTTATAACTATAATAGGATCGCTGCGATGGATTGGCGACCTGTCCGGGGTGTACCCTGCCTTCGCCCGATTGCCGGCCGGGATTGGCTCCGGCCCCCCCTCCCCCGTGACCCCGTTCCGGGATGAAGCGGTAGAAGATGAATGAATGAATGAATATAATAGGATCTGTGTATTAACTACTAATATAGAAGCTTCCATCCTATTATATAAATATAGCCTCCTATATGTCCCTGATACAGTAATAGAGACTCATGAGTTGGTTATGTGGACATGTTCATTAGAGTGTAAAGACCTTAATCTACTCTGGTCTTGGGTATTTCCCCTTATATGGGCACAAATTATTACCTCTGTGAGCTGTTTCTTCCCATTTCCATTTTGGCCATTTTTCTCTGGTTCAAATCATTTAATACACTTGTAATAAACCATATAAACAATGAAACTATAAGTGATAGAAAGAATGAAATCACAGTGTTTTCTTCTTCTCTTGTCCTCATTCTTTAGAAAGCAAACTATTTTGGCTCCCTCCTACAGGCGTCTACTGTTTGTCTGGGATCAGGGCTCGAAGGCGAGGTCAACGTGCCTTTCTGTGACCTCCTACCCATGGTGCACCCTAATGACATTGTCTTTGACGGTATGGACAGTTGCTCAAGATTTAACATCTGAAAATGACAAGTGTATTTGTTACCCATTTTTGACCAAGGCAGTTCTATGTTTTTCAACAACCAGTTTTCAAAAACTGGTTCCAACTTGGCACCACCCCTCTGCTGGTCTAGAACTAAGAACAGTTTATGTCAGGAGCCCAGCTCGGGATTATTGTGCCCGAAGACCAATTAAAACTCTCTATGACTGCCATTTTAAAAAGACACACAGCAAGAGAGTAGTGTAGTCAGGAAGAAAAAAATGCGTGTCACTAACACAAAATTGAAGCAACAGTGAACCGTGGAGGAGAAAAACTGTTGGCTAGCTAAAGGCTAAGGCTAACATCTCATGTTAAGTGTTAATATGAACCAAAACATGTTATGCAATTACTGTTCTTCTCAAACATAATGTCTGTCCTTAAAAATTATGACAAGCAGCTCATATGCATTGGACCAGTTGTATTTAGATGCCAATGTAGGCTCGGAAAGCCAGGGGCAGCACTAAAGAGGAGAAACTGAAGTCTGCTATTGTTATTGAGCTTGGCGCTAGCATTTCTGGGAAAGCAGAGGCGTATTCAGATGTATACAGTGTCATAATTATGTGGCTCTGTGGCAGCTCTCTAGCTCGTTGAAAAGCAAACCGGTTCCTAGAAGGTTCGCAAGTTGAACCAGCTCCAATTTGGCTCTAGCACCAGTTCAGAACTAGCACTTAGTTCCTGTTCGTGGAAAAGGAATGTGTGTGTCTGTGAGAGTGCAGCTGTATGGTGTTACTATAAGAACCTCTGCCCTTCTAGTTCTGGATGATGAGAGCTACCAAAGGAGTTAAGCACATTTTTTCTTTCTTACTTGTTTTTAGGCTGGGATATCTCCTCTATGGATCTTGCCAGTGCAATGGAGCGTGCTCAAGTCCTTGACTGGTCATTACAAGAGCAGCTCCAACCATACATGAGTAGCATGAAACCCAGACCCTCCATTTATATCCCAGAATTCATTGCTGCAAACCAAGAGAGCCGAGCTGACAGCGTCCTCACTGGGACCATGGCCGAGCAGGTAATGCATAGTCGGCTAACGAGTATGTCATCTCTGTTTATTCCATATTAGGTTATGCTGTTGCTTATCTAAGTCTTTATTTGACTTAAAGAGTAATTGATCTTCCAGATGGAGCAGATCAGAGCTGACATAAGGGACTTCCGTAAGTCAAGTGGTGTGGACAAAGTCATTGTTCTGTGGACCGCCAACACCGAGCGTTTCTGTGATATCATACCGGGGGTCAATGATACAGCCAAGAACCTGCTAGCTGCAATCCAGGTGAGAGCAGGGGCCCAGAAGAGAGTTTCACTCATAAACATCCAGATATAAAAAAACACTCTTAAATAAATGATCTAAAAGCTCAGATCCTTCAGATGGCTTCAGCTGAAATTTGCAATATGCCAGGCAGTGTTGGCCCCTTTTGTTCTCTGAGTTGTCGCTGTCATTCAAAAGCCACACCAATGTTTATGCTTTACTTCTTGCAGCATCCATCTTCTTTTTAGTTGTAACTTTCTTGAATATGATGTTACCCGCCCAGATCTGCAGCTGTAGTTGGGGACCTCTGGTTCATGGCTAAACTGCTTTAGCCCTGGCTCATAGCCAGTGATTCGCCTTGGAAATCCAGGCTCTTCTGGCGGGGAGAAGTGAGGAGGGAGGCCAGCTAACTAAAAACACAGGTTTTATTCTGTCTTGGTAACGCAAACACTGTATGTGGCCTTTGATACCCATTTGACTGCATTGCAGTCCTATCTATATACTTAGAACTGACTGCTGTTGGTATTTTCCCCAGTTTTTATTTTATCTCCTGTTTTCAGTATGCTTTTACTCCTGTCAGCAACGATAATAGTCTATTTCACAGACCTGTGATCTTGAGCAAATAGCTCTATTTTAGGTAGGCATGAAGCCGACAAAAGCATTGTGCTACAGAGATGATGTGAAGAGAGTCTCGGTGGAAATGAAAGCTTGTGAATCAAGCTATCTTCATCAGTGTAATGTGATCATACACTTTGTAACAGCCATTATCTCTGGTTTACATTTGTCAGGCTGGAGCAGAGGTTTCACCCTCAACACTCTTTGCAGTGGCTAGTATACTGGAGGGCTGTGCATACATCAATGGCTCCCCACAAAACACCTTTGTCCCAGGGGCCATAGAACTGGCCATGCACAGAGGCGTGTTCATTGGAGGAGATGACTTCAAGTCTGGTCAGACCAAGATCAAATCAGTGCTGGTGGACTTTCTCATCAGCTCAGGGATCAAGGTGAGAAAGATGGAAGGAAGGAGGATAAACTGATACTAATCAGTCTTGAGTCACTGCTCAGATGCTCTTATAATATGCCTGTACTATACACGAGGTCACATGAAAAGCTAAATAAGTTCCCTCTCAACTCAACAGCCGACCTCTATCGTCAGTTACAACCACCTCGGCAACAACGATGGGAAGAACCTGTCAGCTCCACAGCAGTTCCGCTCCAAAGAGATCTCCAAGAGCAACGTGGTGGATGACATGGTCAAATCCAACCCCATCCTGTACGAGCCTGGAGAAAAACCTGACCACTGTGTGAGAGACTCAGAAAAAGAATAACCTCTGTGTGCATGATTACAGAAAACACCTGATTAGACTTTTGAACTGTCTCTGTTTTATTTAAGGTGGTGATTAAATATGTCCCCTATGTGGGAGACAGCAAGCGTGCCATGGATGAATACACCTCTGAAATAATGATGGGCGGCATCAATACTATTGCACTCCACAACACTTGTGAGGTCAGTGGTCATTTAATCTGTTTGTGTAAAACATGGATGTGAAAAAGGCAAATCTAGCATATTAGAACAATCTCCAAGGAGTCCAAACTGCTGATTGCTGGCTAAACACAACATGTATCTGACTATAGCTGTGGATGTGGAGGCTCAGGGGAGCTGGAGCAAACTGTTAATCCTTCTTAACAAGTCTCAGAGCTAATTTTACTGGGATTCTCCCTTGTTTCTACAAACAAGACCATGTTGAAAGATCATGTAATAACACAAATCTAAATGCAGAGAGTTTAATAACAAAAATAAATGGGGTAAATTAATGTAACACTTTTGGTGTCTGTGCATTTCAGATGTACTTTCTTAGTAAATTCAGTACACAATTCTCAGTAAATGAAATGTATATGCATCTGTGTAGCTGGTTATAAAGCTCTTATGTGTACAATAAAAAATGGACTTTAGCGACCCCTGGTAGTTAAAAGGACTTGCTGCAGATACACTATCAATCCAGTTTCTGCATGTGCAATAACTATGCTGTGCCAAACATGGCATAGGAGTTGTGTGCATTCATAAATGTCTTACACCATTCCCTTCTGCCTCAGTGACATCACTATAGTCACTTCATCCTTCTTTGTTGCAACAGGACTCTCTACTAGCCAGCCCAATCATCCTGGACCTGGTGATCCTGACAGAGCTTTGTCAGCGTGTGACTGTCCGACCTCAGGGGGAGGAGGACTTTCAGTCCTTCCACAGTGTCTTAGCACTGTTGTCCTTCCTCTGCAAGGCCCCCCTGGTCCCATCAGGGACCCCGGTCATTAATGCATTCTTCCGCCAGAGGGCCAGTATAGAAAACATCATGAGGTGTGGATCAGTTTTAGTACTCAACTGGTTTCTTTGCCTACACTGCATTACTGCACAATTTCACTAAGTATTTATTTTACATTCGACAGAGTAATTAAGCTTTGAAAGACCCACATGTATGAAATTCTTGTTTCATTTAGTGGCAGAAATTGACAACAGTCTGCCTCCTTGTCTTTTTCAGAGCATGCCTTGGCCTTCCTCCTCAGAACCACATGCTGCTGGAGCACAAGCTGCAGAGAGATTTCCTGTCTGCACATACCACCTACGTCAGCAGCAACGTAGCTGTTCTGAAAAAAGTTGCCCTCACCAACGGGAACCATATACCTCTGACAAATGGCATCTGTGGGGATGTGGATTAAAGAATTGAAACTTAACTTTCTGTCTGTACTCCAAATGTAAAATACAATTGTACAGTATTAAAAATGGTGTTGGTCAATGTGTTTTCCATGTAATTGTTTTATTAATCCTGGAGCTGTGAAAATGAAATTGATAACTGCTGAATTTGGTGCTTCAATCTACAGCACACTGGTTTGATAAATGAGGAGCAGCTCTTTTACATTTGGTGTAGTTTCTGTTGTCATCTATCACTGCATTTTATAGTCATCCATGTGGCTTGTGTGAGTGTGTGTGTGAAGCTAAATCACAGAAGTATCACAAAAACCTTAACTTGTCATGCTCTAAATGGATTGGTTTGGTGTCATACTTACTCTAATGTACTTTTTCTGCACTAGCATCAAAAAAGGAAGCACAGAACATGTATAACAGTTGTGTAATAAAAGTTGCAGGTGGCCTATAAAACATTCTCTTGGATTATTTTCTAAGCAAAACTGTTGGTGGCGCAAGGGTTGATTGAGTAATGTATTAATTGCACTGTGTGGTATTAGGTCAGTAATTAAAAAATTAGCTTGAAAACAGACTATGCACCTTTGAAACGTGTAATTTGCTACACAAAATTTTGATACATAAATGTTATACTTCTTTTGAAAACCCCTTTTGCTGGTAAAATGAGAAGAGTTCTTATAAAAAGAATTAATTCTTATGGTGTGACAAAAGTTTGATAAAATTTAAATTACCAAATAAAAGAAAATGTTGACCTAAGTCAACATGATTCGACAAAAGGGCAAAATTATCATTTAATAACTGACATGAGATGAGAAAGTCTAGAATTTTGCAAAACCTGTAGTCAAACTAAAGTTCATATGCCATAATTTTATTTAAATTTTGACAAAGCTTTGAAATTGTAATCGTTTTATCTTAAATTATTGGGTGGTTTTATTTTCATGTATGGGTTTCGAAAAGAAGTATGAATGGGGGCTATTGTGTTCATTTTTGCTCAGGGTGCCCAACTATACTGTTTTTGTGCTGGGTCGGACAGTCCCTCGGTACGACCCTGCTCGCACTTGACGCACACACCCTCAGCGTCCTTGGCAACCAGACAAACAGAGGGGCTAGTGCTGACGAGGTTTTGTAGATAGGTCTTTGATTTTGGGGGGGGATTTCTACCATTTTAAGTTGCTGGCTAATACCGCGATTGTTTGTTCCGATATGGACCACCAACATAAACTGGTCCGTTTCCTGTATACGAGTGGGCTTAAATCACTTCCGCTGTCGTTGCTACGACACAGGACTTCACCAGCAATGGCCGACAAGGAGAAGCGCCGGTCCGGGGGTACTCCTCCAGGGGTGCTGGAGGTCAAAGCCACCAAATCAGACAGCGACAGGGAGTTTCTGGCGCAGGCGGGTGTGGTAGAGCTGCTCCGCGGAGCCATCTTGAAGATGGTCGAGGCTAGATCGGACGATCCCATCGGTTTCCTGGCCGACCACTTCTGCAACCTCGCATCCGTGACAGAGACCGGATCAGCTGGATGCAGCGATGGGGATCAGTTGAACAACGGCCCGCTGAGCGCAGGCGCGCAGGAACAGCAGCATCTCAACCGGGCGCTGTGGCACCTGCGGCTGGCGCACCACTCCCAGAGGTCCGGGCAAACCTCAAAGATTTATGGTCGAAACAGTGTCATTATAGTAAATTGATCGTGCTTTTATCGGATGCGATTTGATTATGATTGGGTATAATTCAACCTCTGACGTTTTTTAAAAAACATATAGACCAAAAATTGTTTATTACCAAATCCTGTGTAAATTAAAGCGTCAGTTCACCCAAATCATAAAAGTCAGTTACATCAAGTGATATCTAGCAGCAGTGACGTGTTTTCACTAAAGGTGTCATCATTACTCAGGATAATGATTACAGTTTGTTAGGAAAATACTCCAAAAATAATAGCAAATCATGCATCATACCTTTATTATTAAGAGTGCCAATTTATGCTACAGTAGAATGAAAATATATGATGGTTATTATACAGTAACCGTTTAAAGACCGTAGTGCTACATTGCTTTGCATTACTTAACTTCTTTAGCACAGTGCTGACTCACGTTAAAACTGACAAGTGAAATGTTTTGGGAGACTGACTTGTCTTTGTAGCTGCTACAGACTCATGTATGATCGTATTAAATGTTCCATTTCTCTTTTTTAAACTCAGATCTGCATTCAGCAACAACATCCGTGTGGCCTATGACCTCCTAAATCACGGTGGGCCCCATAAAACTGCAAGTGAGGCTCCTGAAGGCCCTGGTGCCTCCTGCACTGACAGCCCCACCATGGGAGATGGGGTGAGAGGAGGCCTCTACACACAGACTCTGCAGTGTCTATGCAGTGAAGGTGGAGTACCTGCCTCCACGTCTGCTCCGCTCCTCCAGCGTCTCCACTGTCAAGATCACGAGGCGGTCCCTTTCGATGTCTTCCGTCATGGTGTGCTCACATGTGCTGTTTTTTCAGACTACATCCGGCAGGCCCAGAGGCTCTACGCTGAGGTGTGTTGCCCGGATAAGGGGCCTGCCTCACGCTCACTGTGCCTAGCTGTGCTGGGGACCCTAAAGGAAGCCCTGGAGACTTCCCAGGGCTGTGATGTAAACTGCTGTGCTAATGCTAACACTAAATTTAGTGCCTGCCTGGAGGCTAATATAAAGGCTATCCGTTACCTGGAGGCCAGTGTCAAAATCTCTCCCTACAGGCTAGCTCAAGCCATGTCTGAAGCACAGACACAGGGTCCATGTGGTAACATGGACGCAAAAGAGTTTGAGAATGCAGCGGCAGAGCTGTTTATCACTCGGGTCAAGGTTGTGTCCTAGGTTTCTTTTCTGATTTCTTATCATTTACAAATGTACAGCAATTCAGCAATTATACAGAGTACATACATATCACAGAATAAATAATTTACCCTTTGTTTACTTTATCTTGATGCTAACCTGCTGCTGGCTAAATGACAGATGTCTAGTTAACACTTAAATAAAAATGAAGCACTCTGATAGTTCTTCCTCTCCAGACTGACACTAATTCCATCATTTGGTGGATAACACTCATGAAAGCCTTATCATTGGATGTCTGTTGTCTAACTTATTGCTGTGGTAATCAAGCAGCTGCTGAGGACATAGAGTTCCTTCGGAAGACTAATAGTATTCCTTGAAATCAATATATTGATCTCAGCAGGTTTGATTATTGTCCAGCCTTTGCCATGAAATGCTCAGATTGAAAAGTAGCATTGCAGTGATCTACATCTAATGCAATCCACTATAACAACCCTGTAATAAATCCTCATGTTTTCTTGAGACTGTTAGAGAACACTGCTCCCTGTGTCATTTACACGATGATATTGTTGCATCATATTTAAAGATTTCTACATTTTTTTGTTACCAGAAACAGTAACCCAGTTTGACAGGAGCCTGTCACATGTACTGTCCTAAAAGGAAACAATACAGGAGAGGACTTGTGCAAACTGATATTCACTTATTTCCCATATGCATTTGATCTTTTTATTTTATTTGTATCTGAAGTCTTGTGATTCTGAACCTTCTGCCATTAAAGAGAATCCAATGGGAGTGCTCACATCACACATTTCCAAACACTGATAGCATTTTACAAAGAAAGACATTTACAGAGTGAAGCTAAGAGAAACAAAGCAATAATAAAAAATAAAAGAGGGCTACTGTTCTCCTCACCCTTAACTCGCTGATGCATGAAAGCCACCCAGACAAAGACCAAGGAGGCCAAAGTTAATATCTGACTAAAGTCCTGAAAAGAAGGGAAGGCTGCACAGTTCCACAACATAAGACTAACACTATACAGAACCATAGCTCGAAGAAGAAAACTCTTAGAAATGGCCCAAGCATAACCATTTTGTGGAAAGCCTAAAAAAGGTACAAGGCACAGGAATTATTGGAACAGAAATATATTAGACATATTACACTAGATAACACCAAGGAGAAAGAAAATTAAGTCACTTTAACTAAGTGATTTTTGTATCTATCACTGTATTCCATCATACACAGCCAGTCCTCCAAAATGAACTCACAAACTGAGCACTTTACTTACTACAAATGAAACACATTTTTATAGGTCCACTGATAACTAGGTGCTACTGTAAAATCAAATACTAACAGCAATCAACAATGAAGACATTTAGTTCACCATGCTCATTGGCTATTTCTACCCAGAAAAAGTGGCACCTGATACTACTTTGAACTTCTACTTTGCTAAATTTTCAAGGAATACATGTACTTGTTACATGGTAGAATAAGATTTTACAAAATTATATTGCATTATTATTGTATAATTATTGAATTATGCAGCAGTATATAAAAAGTTTAAATTAGTTCCACTTCCACCAACTACAACATGTAAATTCTGCTTACATGTTCACACATTAGCAATAACCCAATTATAAATGAGTAATAAATGTAACACTGGTGGTATTCTACTTTGAGTTTTGATATTTTAAGTAGATTTTGCTTCTAAAACTTTTGTAGGCTATATTTACTTCATAAAATTTAAAATACAGAACAATTAACTGAGTGTTTTTATTCTAGCATTTCCAGTGTTAGTAAGCAAATTGTCCTAATTCTTACTCCACCCAACACCCTCTCAAGCACTACTTATTTTACCCACTAGATGGCACCACTTTTCTCTTTGTTGAAGTCGGACCCTATTGGACAAACAGGCAGAATTGTAAAGGCAGCAATACGCGTTTGCTGCGTTTAGATAACAGAAGAAGAAGAAAAGGCAACAGTAGCGGCAGCAGAAGAAGAAGATGGAGAAGAAGAAGCAGTAGCAGTAGCAGAAGAAGAAGAAAAAATAATAATGTAGTGTATCATGTACTGACAGTGGCTGCAAGAACGCCTGAACTGCTTGGTATATATTATTATTGTCACCATAACTCAATGTTTTACGTGCTGTGTCCCGGACAAAATCGTGATAATGGAAGAAGAGCATCAGCTGCGCTCTTTCATGTTCCTGATGACTTATATGCTACTGAAGCGCAGGAGGGACATAAACAACGCAAACATCCAGAGGCGCAATGAGATCCAAAGACGCGTCAGACACCGACAGTACTTCTTCCAGAGGCAGAGGAGGATGCTTTTGGTCAGTCCCTCCCTCTCTGTGTCAATACATATGAAGTAACGTAAGAAAATGGTGAAAACGTTTCAATTTTCCAGCTATTATTTTTAGTTGTCTTGTTTTGTCTGATCAACAGATGAAAACCAAAGATATTTAGTTTAGTATTTTATGACAAAGACAAGCATCAAATCCTACACTTTGAGAAGCTGGAACCATCAAAGTTAGGTATTTTTGCTTTAACCTCTAGAGTCCCTGCGTCCTCATATGAGGACCAAAAATGCATATGAAACCAAAGCTCAGGACTCTAGAGGTTAAGATGATTAAACCAATGATTCAATCATCATAAATGTTATTGATTAATTTTCAGTTGCCCCATTACTCGACTAATTATTGTAGCTATACTTACGTGCCTTCCGAAAAAATGTCCATCAAGTTTGCACACACGTTTGTTTGTCCTCTCGCGAGACTGTTCTTTTTAAAATGAACTTTACTAATAAACACAAAAGATGGACATAGAAGCGTGCAGTTGACATATGTAGTTAACATACAGAACACAGTTATTAAATATAAGCTAAGAGTTGCAACTAACAACTTTTTTTATGACTGATTAATCACTTCCAAGTTTTTCAATTAATCAGTGAATTACTGGTCGGAGTTGAGCTCTGCAAGACTGTGATGTTGTCACATATCTTGTTCTGTCTGACCATCAGTCCAAACCCCCCAAAATATTGGCAATGTATTAATTTAAAACAGAAGCAACTGAAGAAGCATTGAGATTGATTGAGAAATTGATACCAGACATGTTAGACATTTTTCTTGAAACTGACTGAAATGATTATTGGATTATTAAAATTGCTGCAGATTAATTTTCTGTTTATTCACTTAATCAGCTAACTGTTTGAAGAACAGGCTACCAGCAAATTTGCAGCTATACAAAGAAGAGATAAAGTCAAGGGGTGGCTATATACATTAGATTTGACAAAAAAAATAAAATTTAAACATATTGATATATATTGAATTTTACCAAGAAAAAAGAGAAAAAGGAGAAAAAATAGCTTCGGTATTTAGATTTATGGTTTTCTTTTCTTGTTCCTCCTCCAGATGATGATAGCAGAAGGTATCCGCTCCAACGTCCACATCCGAACACGCCCTTGGACCACCACTCCAAGCACTGATTGGTGGGAGCGAGTGGTGATGACAGAATTCCAGCCCTCTGATTGGCTGGATAAATTCCGTATGAGCCGGGAGACGTTCTTCTACCTGTGTGACAAGCTGCGGCCCCGTCTAGCTCGCCAGGCCACCAGCTTCCGCCTGGCGCTGCCAGTGGAGAAACGTGTGGCTGTGGCTCTGTGGCGTCTAGCATCAAACATTGAATACCGCACCATCAGCACCCTTTTTGGTGTGGGGAAATCCACAGTGTGCAGGTGTGTTAGAGATATGTGCCACGCCATTGTGGCGCTGCTTAGCCCAATCTACCTGCGGCCCCTCAGTGAGCAGGACCTGGAGGATTCAGCTCAGCTTTTCCTATCCCACTGGGGCTTCCCTCATTGTGTCGCTGCCATAGCAACACTCCACACCGCTATCATCACTCCATCAAACAACGCATCTGACTATGTTAACTCTGCCGGCTGGCTCTCAGTGCTGTCACAGGTGGAGAAGGCATCCATGTATGCTACTGCCAATATACTGTATGTCCTACATCGGATTTTGACTGCTAGCCTCTTCTTCTGCTATTTCAGGTGGCTGTTAGTGGCCGTGGCCAGTTCTGGGATGTATGTGCCAGTTTCCCAGGCGGGACAGACCCAGCTGACATCTTTCAGAACTCATCACTGTGGGCCACAGCTGCAGAGGGGGGACTGTCACCTGCCCCTCTGCCTATTTTTATGGGAAAACAACTCAGGTCAAGTTAACAGCTAGACATTTAGTTACAATTAAATCACATTATTCATGCATTTAAGAATACAATATGCATATTTTCACCTGGATGAAAGAAGCAAGACTGTAGTCTTCCCCCATGTGGTATGTCAAGTTTCCTTCCAGCCTTTGTGCCACTCATCTGTCTAATCGATCACAGCTTTAAGATGATTACCTCCACCAAGGAGGTTGTTTTTGGTTCTGTGCATGTGTGTTTGGTGGTTAGCAGGATTATTGGCAAATGGCTGGATGGCTCATCAGCATACTTGGTGCAAACACTGGTGGGGACCAACCCTAGCAGTTCTTAGATTTTGGCTGAAAAAGGTCAAGGACACAAAAAACAATGAAAAAAATCGCACACACACTAATCCCATCTTTAACATGGAGCAAAAAATTTTAAAACATGTCTGTGTTAAAAGTTATCAAACAAATTTTTTTGTTAGAAATTTGACACACACACAGTATGTAGGGTGGCAATGTCTATCACCAGACAAAAAATTCATCCGGATCTGATGCAGATTCTGGATCTGATGGCCTATTAAAGTTAACATTGAAAACCCCATTTAACGCATATTTTCTGCCATAGCTTGGCCTATAATAAAGATAAAACCCTAAAATGTTCAGGTAGGATGCACAGTATAACTGCCTATCATACCCTAAAAGATGATCCAGATCCAATCCAGATAAAGGATTTTAGGACACATTTTGTGCTGTTCTAGATCTCATTTTTCACACGGGACCCATTTGCATGAGCGAATGTTGTGCTTTGGCGGAGGTACATATGTTCTCTGAGTGCTCTTGTTATCACTGTGTTTTCATCATTTGAGGTGGATAATACTAAAATCTAGCAATGCTAGATTAGGATGTCACATCTTCCTGTGTGGTCCACACCATAACTGACTGAAAACATGTTGTGTCCAGGTATGTGCTGCTGGGGGAGGCCTGCTACCCACTGCAAAACTGGCTGATGAAGGCCTACCCTGAAGAAGAAGGCAGGAGGGCAAGTCGTGCAGCACTGACGACACCACAGCGGCTTTTTAATCGGCGACTCAAAAGGGCAGTGCATGTGTCCGAGGAGGCGCTGCTGAGGCTGAGGGCACGCTGGCAGTGCCTCAGCAAGAGGAACGACTGTGGACTGGATGTGGTGCCCACTATGACCCTGGCTTGCTGCATTCTGCACAACATGTGTGAGTCCCACGGGGATGCCTTTAAGGTGGAGTGGCAGGTGGAGGTGGCCGAGTCAGAAAGCCCTCAGCCCATCCACAAGCAGCTCCTGTCAACAAACATGGACCAAAGTCATGCTGAGGAGGTCCGACGCCTCTTTTGTGACTATTTTGAACAGCAAAATTGATAAAAGGACAAATATTATTGAGAATTTTTGTAAACCTTTGTATTTACACTGTTATACATTTGTAACAAGTTAGCAGCATGGCTGTACTTGTTTTTTTAGTCCAGTATTAACATGTCTTTATGCTAACTGTAGCTAGGTATGATAAAGCATGGCAATGTTAGCATACATCTCAAACCATAGTAGAACCTAAATGCACTTCAATCTGACAATGTGATACTCTACAATCACAATACATCCATGAAATTTAGGTATGAACTGTGGTGCTGTAATGATCTATAAATAGCAACATCTCCCTTTACCCACACTTTTATTTTCTATTGTGTAATAAGCACCATAAACCGAACAGGCTGCTAGCAGGGCTATAGACTTTTTCTATTTATCATAACCCTTTGGTCATTTTGTTTTGTACATTTTTATATAGTGTGCCATTGTACAAGAATTCCAGTTTTATTGAAAGTAATTTTTGTGTACATATGTTTCTCCTGTTTTTATGCAGTTTTATTTCACATTTAGTAAGATTGTAACCAGTTTTTTATTTAAACACATTTCACATATGAGACTAGTGTGACATAACTAAATGGACAGATAAAATATGTGTAAGGAGGAGGAAGTGTAAAGATAAGCATGAATTTTGACTCTGTAGGTAGATAGGCTACTTGAATAAACATGTTAAAGAAACTGAGAAGAGACAGTTGATCATGAAGATGCATATTCTACATGTTTCTGAGTGCCAAGAGGCACTTAAATGAAAACTGTGAGCAGAAGTTACCTGCAACTGTGGGCCACAAAATGCCACTGCTGTCACAGTACAAGACCACCGCTGTCCTCGCTAAGATTTTGTCTTGTCTGGTACACCTTGCATTATACTGCAGGTTGTAGCTGAAGTAATGGAAGTGCTTATTGCAACGTCTTGTCTTGATAACCAGTTAACATGTAGGGCTACACTGTAGGAACATTTTTCAGCAGTGCAGAATATTGCCAAGCATACATGCAGCAGGTGTTGGACTTGATTTAGCAGTGATCTCACATGCAGTGCCTATGAAATATAAAAACAAACAAACAAAGCAGTTCTTCCTAATTCATACAGATTGGGTTTTGCACCTCATTGATATAACTTTCACAGTCAGATCCTACCCCGAGGACCCGCCTCGTTTATTCAATTGGTCTGCCAGAAACCTGTTTCATGCAACCTTCCGTCTGTCACTCAACACCTCAGTATCGCTTCCTCCTCGCTTGGCATCAGGCAGATGTGTGCGCGCGCCCACCTTGTTCCGGCTACGAGCTACCCGAAACTGTTTGCTGTGAATACGGCTGTGGCAAAAGCCGCAGGTCCGGCACGCATTTTATGTCGTCTTTCTGGCTGTTGTAATAGCCTGGTATTTCGCCGTTACAATGAGTCAGGATGTGATAGGATGCTTTTCTGCTATCGCTAGCTAGGCGGAAAAATTCCTTCGATCAGCCTGCTGTTTCAATCACTGCGGTTCGACAGCGTTAGCCGAGGCGTTGTAGTGTGAGCTAGCGGGTTAGCAGCGCAGCTTTTGTAGTCGTTACGTCTGTTTTAGCCAACGTTAGCTATTGTAGTTGGAGGACGGACGCATCGCTGCGGCGTGGATAGTGCAATAACGGTTATCACTAATCCAATGTTAACGTTACCTTACTGGCAAGGACTATTACCTTTTTCTGCATTAAATTAGCTTGCTAACGTTGGAGAGACTACACAGATAAACTGCTACGGGTTTGGATGTCGCGACACTGCAGTTTTCATTCACTTTTGGGGGATTGTGAAGGCAGTCTTGGACCATAGTGACAGGGGAAAGGTAGAATTGGACCGTCAAGCGACAGAGGGGGTTAATGATATACAGCGGGCATTAAATGACAAATCTGTGGCAGTTGCAGTGATTTTTACTATTAGGGAAATTAAAGCACGTCAAATCGGGGAGGCCCCTCCGTCTCCTGGCTCCTTCCCCTGTCCTAATCTGCCGCGATTTGCCGAGAACACCCGGGTGAAGTCGCAGTTGTTCTCGGCTGGGGGGATAACTTCACAGCGAGGCCCCTAGCTAGTCTCCCCTCTCACAATCCCGTCCACCCATCCTTCCACCCCGACACACCACTTCCTCGTCTGAAATCCAAGCGAGGACCGAGGATAGGCTGAAACCGTGGGCAAGTGTTTTGTCGGGTCCCGTCTAAACCGGGCTGCCAAAACCAGAGGGGATGACTCTGGAGTCCATGATGGCTTGCTGCCTGAGCGAAGAGGCGAAGGAGTCGAAACGAATAAATGCAGAAATTGACAAACAACTCCGCCGAGACAAGCGAGACTCGAGGAGAGAACTGAAATTACTTCTTCTTGGTATGTGGCATACTAATTCACAAATGCACTTTTATTGTCATGTCTTGTGCCATTATATGCAAAACTAGCCTTCTTGGGCCTTCATCGCAATGCTAGCAAATATGCTACTAGTCAAGATTGCTAGCTGGGAAGCTGGTGTCAGTTTGAGTAACGTTATGGCATGTTTCCGAAATGCGTGACTTGTCTGTAAACTATTGCGTTAAATTTGTTAGCTGGCTTGTCCAGATTGCATATCGGCAAGAAGTGGATAGTCACATAACGCTATACGCCGTCTTTATTCGAGTGTATGCGTTGGTGTGCAGACGACAGCTTATTTGGCAGCGAAGTTACTATAGATGTCTCCGTGTACAGGCCACTAACGTTACATGCTAGTCAGTGGACCAGTTTGATATTATTGCTTAACCTGGAGGCTAATCAGGTGCCAATCATTGAAACTTTGTTAGCCAGTGGTAATTAAAACAAGGTGAAAGATGGTCATTTGTTCACAGAAGGATTGATTTTGCTTTATACTGTTGCTTTCACCAGGTTGCATAACAAATATACATCTGGGTGAGGTGCCTCAACCAGACCTTGCATGGTGTTCATTCATTTATCCATTTCCCATATTGGTGTGCACCCTGTGTCAGAGATCTACCCTTCCAGACTCCAAGGATACTGAGGGATTTGCCCCCTCATCCTGGAGTCTAGCTGAGTAGGTTAGCTATTTTTATAGCTGGTGTGTGGGCAGGTGGGAGCTGCTGTTGAATAAGTTGCCCTGTACTGCATTGATTCATAGTTCTGTGGACACAAAGTGCTTTTTTTCCACAAATGTCCTTTCATTATGTGTGCGTGCATCTTTTAACAGGCTAACTTTCTACTGTGTGTGCATGATGTGACCAGTTAGCCACTTAAAACAACAGATAAGTGCGAAAGCACTGAAAAAGCAGGTGCCCATTTTTAGAACAATTAAAAAGTATCTAGGTTGCATCCTTAGTTTCAAAATGTTTGCTCTCATTTCTCATCCACCAAAAGCAGCCCTGGTTATTTGACATGAGTGACTCCTTTCATTTCCCTGCTGAATACCTCAGCTCTGAGAAATAGGCCACACTAGAGCCATACGGTCGATGGGACATATTCTGTTCTATGTCAGACATTTTAATCACTGTTGCACACTATTCTACCTGAAGGCCGATGCGAGCAGGAGAACGGGCATTTGTTTGTGTGAGGTGGTTTTGAAAGGGTTTGCTTGTGTGCTGCAATCGTTTTTCTCTTGTCAGATAAGTACCTGGCTGTTTTAAAGATATTTAGGAATTAAAGTATTTATGCTCTACTTTTGCATGTAGTGCAGGCGGTTTTTTTATTTGCTTTTTTTTAGTATTTCCACTATAACCTTGATTTTGAAAGAGCAGCCAAAGAAAAGTGTTAATGGGAGAAGCTGATAGAAAACAAAAACTACAGTCATACATGCTGCAAGCAACCCTTAATGTGTGGGTTAAGGCTGTCCTTGGATGCTTAGATGTGTAAAGCAGGATTTGTCCAGGTCTTAATAGGCTTGGTTAAACACATCCACTGCTCAGTCTATGAGATTTCACTGACTTTTATTATCCCCTGGCATTATTCTCAGGCCCACAGCCCTCAGTGAGCTGCCTGCCTCTCCACACCCCACTGGAGGAAGAAGACAGTCTGTTTCTAAGCATTTAACCACCATGTTCCATCAAGTGTATTTTACAGAAGCGCTAAAGTGATACTGAGATGCCTAATGAGTACTGACCTTTCAGCAGTGTCTGTAGAATATTGTGGGAGTTTTTCTGTCATTAGCTACCCTGCAACTCAGTGCATGTTCAGGAGATAGGATGTACATTTAAGATAGGCTTGCAGGAATATACTCTGTAGCACCTTCTGGCCAAGTATACACAATTTTATATGTAATGTATTATACATATTGTATGTATATGTATTTTATATGTTATATGTAATGTGTTTCTCCCAACCACTGTAGCTCTAATACTGATGTATTGTAGTGCAGAGGCATGCAATCGTGGGATTTCTTTTCAAGGTAAAATAATTTGGCTTGTATCTGATGCTTTGTGTCTGGACTTGCAGAAAGAGTGATGTACAGTAATTATCCAGCAAAATTGCCCTTCGCTTTTAGGTCTAGCTGCTCCGATGTGAGGAGGAGTTGCAACTATTCTGTGTTTTTAAATGGAATATTTTTGGGTCTGGGACAAAAACAACACAAAATATTTAATTACATTCAACACAATTTCCTATAACTCAAGGTGACATCTTAAAGCAGCTAGTTTTGTCTGTCCAGAAGTCTACAGTGCAAAGATATTGTGTTTATCTCAAACAGAAAGCAGGAAATCTTCACATTTGAGAAGCTAGAACCAGAGAATGTTTGGTGTTTTTGCTTGAAAAATTACTAAAGTGATTAATTGTTCATTAACATACTTGCAGATTGATCAGCTATTTGATTAAGCGGTTAATCGTTTTACGTTTTGTATCATTTCTAGGTAGCTATAACTGCTACTACCATTTCTGCTTGTAGCATCCACCTTACAGCATTTTTCCTTCAGGTCCACCCTCCCTCTTTGTCCCTTTTCCTTCCTGGCAGAGTTTACGGTATGGTCTGTGTGCATTGCCAAAATAGCCATGCTTCAACAAAAGAGTTGAGAGGTATGCCAGACACAGGCATGAGGTTTCCACTCTAAGAATGTTAGGCTTTGTTTTGTAAGCTTTAATAACTTCAGGCTTCGCCTCTCGGTCAGAAAATAAGAGCTCTGCCAGGGCTGCAGCAGTGTCCACAGTCTGGCTCCCTGTCACTGAGGTCCATATCAGGCCATACCGACAGCTTCCTGTTCCACAGACCAGTGGTTTGCCTCTACTTGGTCAAAGCACAGTGGGCCAGGAGCTGTGGCCTTTGCTGCATCAGGTAAATGAACTGCTGGAGTGAGCAAACGGTCAGTAAAGTGAGATGGAATGGCAAAGTGCTGACCGAGGCAAACTGTAAGCTTCCAGCCAAGCTGTTGGCAGTAGTGTAGCAGTTGGCAGTAGTTTTTCTTTTTTCAAAATGTGGGTTTCACATTAAATGTGAGACAGAGCGCAAGTGTGGGGGTGATCAGAAAAACATCCTTGGAATGACTTCAGAAAGACATTTTTGGTTGTCATAGAATTTGTCAAGCGCAGGATTTAAGAAGGGGCCTAAGATGTTATGGAGAGCTTGGTATCACATCATCCCAGGCCTGGGGTGAATGTACAGTCGTTTGCCGAATCCTTATTGATTCACATGTTCTTGTTGACGTGCTCTGTCTCAGCAGAACATCTTGTTACCAGGTTAAGACAGGAACAGTCTGATTTGAACCAGGAACAGGATCAGGGGTTAGGCTCAGATGTTTACTGCTGACCTCCTTTCTCTTGCCAAGCAGACTTATTTTGATCATATATGGCAACAGGGATCTTCTGGCTCTACTCCTTAGTGGTTGTGTGTGTGAGTGTGGTGCTTTTAATGCCAATGGGTGTGGATGGACAGTTATTACTGAAATCCTCATTATCATGGTCACCTCTAACACTATTAAATATGGAAGTCATTATGGGACAGGATTTTGCATTTTTTGAGAATGTAGAACAATCGAATATATTGGCTGATATTTCTTTTTACATTAACCTATGAACTAAGCAATTTTGCTGATTTCTTGCATATGGTTATTAAGGAATTGCGACCAAGCTATGCACTGATGGGATGTTTTTGCAGTTGATAAACTTTTCTGTTGTGGACAAGTACAGATATTGTAAAACTATTAATTACATAAAACCATTCTTATCCAAAGTTAGCCCAGTTCTTTCTGAGCAGATTTAAAGTCAGGAATATTTACTACTAGCAACAAGATAAAAAAGAGAGAGGATATAAAATAAGGGAAAAGAGAGATGGGGAGTGACATGACACAAAAGCTCTTGACTGCACTCAAACTGGGGACAATTATGGTTCATGGTCAGCATCCTAACCCATTATGTGACTTTAGAAGAACTAAAAATCATCTGTCTAATGTTTAACTTAAATAAATGTGTGCTGGTTGCTTTTGAGTTCATGATGACACGCTTGACCGTGTGCACAAGGTTAACATTTTAAATGTCTTGATTTCCCTCCAAGTCATTTGGAGTCACAGGCTCACCCCTCATCTCACTGATCTTGTCACAGTGAACTAAGCACAGTTCCCCATTGCAGAACATATCCAGACCCCCTCCACATCTCTGCTTGTTTGCAGTAAATGCCCAGGCAGTCACTCTGCTTCAGCGGGCTTTGTGCACACTCTTTGTCTGTCACTGTTACACGGTGTCTTTTACATTGTTGCACAGAGGAACACACATGTTCTTAAATGGGGTTATGACTAGTTCTCTGGAGATATGGAGGTGAATGAAGCTGGATAGTGACTGTCCCACATACTGCTCCCACCCCAGTCCCCAGACAGGACATAGACGTCCTGCTCATTCGTGTTTTCTTCAGCTCTCTTTGTGTTCTCAGGGTGGTATGTTCATTCTGGTTTGCTCTCACCAGCTGCTGCATACAGTAAAGCCCTCACCTCCAACTGACTGTACTGTTTCACCTTCTGTCACATTTTTTCTTGTTTCAAGTTAGTTTGAATGCTTTGAAAAACTAATGATGGTAAATCAGTGTACCAAAGAGGAGCAGTGCATATGTTTGGACACCAGTGTGGTGTTATCTCGGAGTCTCCACAGTGAGATTGCCTGAAATAAGTGCTACATCTTGAGAAATCTCAAGATCTAGGATTTGTCTGTTTTTAGTTTGTAGCAACTGAGCAGTGTTTTATAAACTAAAACACTGCTTTTCACCCAATCTTTTGTAAAGCCAGTATTTGATTTTTTTTTTTTTGTACAGTAATACTATAGTATACTACCTCTGTGCTGTTGTGCTGGTCATATGACCTGTCTCTCCTGCACTAGCTGGCTCTCCCACAGCACCAATGTGTTGGCTGTTGCTCTCCCCTCTCCTACGTCTCTCTCTTCCTGATCCTTTCTTGCTGCTTCAGCAGCACTGGTTGAAGCCATTAAATATTCAGAGTGAATCAGCTGGATTGCTAATCACACTGAACGGACTGATCAGCTTTCTCACGTGTGCTTTTTGATATTGCCCTGGACTGAGTTGGTGAACATTCAGCATCAGTTTTATGAACTAGCATTAACTTTATCCACTTGCAGAGCAGTCGTAATACATTCATGCTGTGTACAGTGTGCTGACCTTGGCAACAGCTGTATCCTAACTTTAGCTTAGCCAGCCTTACTAGCTTGCTAATGGCATATCAGAAGAGCTGCATGTCACTGTGATTGACAGTGTTGTGCTAAAGAAAACAAACACAGAGAGCAGGAGCTGTTCACTGTGAAGAGTTCACCGTTTCACTGAGCGAATACATAAGCTAAGTACGACACTACATCAAAATAAGATTTAACCTATTTTAAAGTAATATGTGGTGGTTGATATTGATATGGTCAGCCACTCATAAGTTAATGTATGGGAAACACTGCAGAGCTCTCAGCAGGTGCAGACACACCAGTACAAAGCGGCCGTGTTTCACCCAGATCCTGACAGCGAGCAGTACATGCTGGAAAGCTGCAGTAAAACAGAGGGAGAAGTAGTCCCCTTTCCTTTTTTTGTGCTTGTGTGTGCTTGCTGGTGTCCTGTAATGTCTTCGCGGTCCAGGTCATTGCAGGGAAGGGGGGAAAATGGGCCATCACACTGGAGGTAACATCCATGCCTTGAGGTTGACCACAGGATCCTTGTGTGTTGGTTGGTGAGCCAGCTGGTGTGAGTGCTGTGTAGCTCCAGGCTGCCTTGGCTCAATCTTTTTATATGCCTGAAAGATGCCAGTTTTCAAGAGTAATTTAGTCAAAGATTGAGATCCAACATGCTACATTTTGGCTAGCCTTGTGACCATCTTGTAGTGTCTTTGTAGGGTGCTGATTAAAAGCGCACACCTGCATGTTGCCAGTTTTGCTATTACTCTAACCTCTACTTTGTCAGTGCAAGTGTTTCTTCTCTGCTTAGGTTGGATTGTCATGTTCTTCCTGAAAGAACCATTCATAACCCCAAATAAGCAAACACTTTTCACTAGACCATTATATTTATGTGTGTTTGCATACAGGTTTATCAAGACAATCCTCTTCTCCTGTTAGTTGAAAGCTGTGACGGGCATTTTGAAGCAAAGCCAGGTTTAGCGGGGATGGCCCAGCTTGTGCATGAGGCCTTTAGTGGCCACCCGTGCTTGCATATAAAGTGCAATGGAAGAATTATAGGATATGAGCAGACAGTGTAAACAAAGCAGACCCTGAACAAACACACAGATAACCAGATCAAGTGACAGTGCAGCAGCCTGGGCTCAGTCAGATCTGCTGCACCAAGACAGCAGTGTGTCAAGTCTGTCAGGGGTTTTGTCATGATCTGACATCAGTTCCATTATGTAAAGGCTTATGAAAGCTAGCCTGGCAATGGAGGATACAGGTGAAATGTTTGGTGTTTTCACACGATGGCTAGGTATTACTATTTACATACTGTTTTCTTTCACTAATTTGGCTATTCATATCAAGTTTTAATCTGGTTATTGTCACAGTACAGTTGACTGAAATTTCTCTATTCCAAGAAACATAGGCTCCACAAAACGCCAGTGTTGGCATGCGGGCTGCGTAGCGTACCTTGCACTGGGACATGATCTGAGCTCGTTCCCTCTCACTCTTCTAGCCACCTAGAACAGAAAGCCTTATCTAACCCAAGTGGTGTGAGAGCTATTAAAAGGTGACCTCCCTTTTCTAGGTTATTACCAAAAAAGAATGGATGGATTCAAGTTAGGAATATCCCAAATTCTTGACAGAGAGGGATGAGAATGGAGAGGACTATAAGGAAGGGGAGGGGGGAGAGCTGGTGAGGGCATGGATGTGGTTGTGACTGGCCCTGGTACAGTCTGGGGAGGGCAAAAGGGAAGACAGAGGCCTGTAGTGTGTTGTGTGATGGAAGAGAGACAGTTCAGAGAACACAGCATGGGGAGATCTTGTGACGAGGCCACGAGAACTTAATCAGACATGAAGCTGCGGAGTGCTTCTCTTGCCTCTCTGCTGAAGCAGTTTGCAGTCACTACCGGCACAGCCCAGCACGAAGACTACATTCTCTGTACTTGACTCCTTTTTTCACCTAGACAGTCACAGTGCATTGATTCATCCAAGTGAAATGATGAAGATAAGGCTGTTTTACTCACTCAGTCTATCTAGCGCCTGTTTTCCAAAATTGGAGATTTTGTTGGAAGAGAAGATGGAGGAGGGTCATTTCCCCTTATGGGCACAGTGTTGCAATCCAAATTTTGAAACTGGGATTAAGGCATTTCTGTATCAACAGAGAGGTAGCTCTCTCCTAACAGTTTTTACAGTCCTTGGTGTTGGGAACACCCCCGTACTGACCTCTGAACTGCCTTTTCCTCCAAAGTCTCAGTGGAGCCGAGGCCCTTTGTCTCTGTGGTACACCAGAAGATGAAGAGCACAGCGCAAGCCTGAGGGGCTCGCAGTTATATTTACTGTCTGCTATGAAAGAGAGGAGAGAGAAGGGGTGGATGGGAGGGGTTTTAAAAGAGAGAGGAAAAACAGGAACGAAAAAGAGGGAGACAAGAGTGGTTGCCATGGTAACGGAAATATGGCTGCTCTTCAGAAATCTTGAATGTAGGTGGTGGTGAGATTGTGTGTGTGTGTTTTCATTTTCTTTTTGTGCAGATATTATGGATGTGCTGGATCCCTTTTGGTTTCGTTGTTTTTTCCCTGGATGGCCTGAGGGTGGATTTTCTGGGTATGCTGTAGAACATAGAGGGCTAGTGTAAAATATGGGTTAGGCACCACAGACCCCCCCCCCCCCCCCGCGACAGCAAGAAGGGGTTTATTTGGCAATCATTGTAGATATTGAAAAGCTTGGAAAACAGGTGCTGAGATTGATTCCTACACTGCAATGAAGGATGTTTTGGCATGTAAAACAGAATAATAGATGCATAATAGAATAATAAAAGTGTGCATATAATCCAAAGTCTGTCTTTGGGCTCCTTTACCATATGTGTAAATCTGGAAACCTGCCACTGCTTGAAATATTGCAGTGATCTGGACTCAGGAAAGCAGAGAAGGATCAGTGAAGGAATGCAGCCTTTTTGACAACAACCCCTGTTGTCACCTTTTGGCAGAGACAGTTCAGTGTTACATCCTGAATGCAGGACAAGTTGTCTTATTTATCTTTAGTAAATTAGCTTGTATTTTCCGCTACTCGTCTCTCATCTCCGCCCTGCAAACACATTTTGATTTGATTACTTTCCCAACTGTGCGATGTCTTCCTAATGTCAAAGAAACTTTGACATCGTAGCTGTCGTAACCAGTTTAATCAACTGAAATTTCTGTAGAGAGATTTCGTAATATTTACCAGGTTGTGCTGATTTGCCTTGCTTATTGATTAACAGAAATGAATGAATAAGACATCAGATGCACAAACAGACTGCAGCACATATTGGACCTCTTCACTTGGTTCCACTTGTTGTCAGCATCTTGGCAGAAATGAGGAGTCTCATTTTTAAATGAGTTATTTACATATTGGAAGGTGTGTGGACTAACACCTAATTGGGTTGGTTAATATAGATAAATTACTCTTATCACAGTATACAGTGTCATTTTAAATCACAGTATTGATGTATTTTTAGATAAAACAAATGCAGTCTTAATACAACAATCCAATAAATCCTACTTTGATCAAAATTGTTTCTTGATTTGACTTTTTGTTATTTTGCAGGATGCACACCATTGTTACATACAGTACAACACCAGTGTTATATTGTGCCTTACTGAGAGATGTCCACCCTGTTTACTGTATATCTAGGGTAGACTACATATTGGTACATACTGTGATTAAAAACATATGACAAACAGTTTATGGATGAATAACAAACCCTTCATACTACCTCTGGTGCATTGTGTCAGACTATTTTATTAATGACCTGGTGGACGTTCTGCATGTACAGTCATGAAGGAACCAACAACAGCTGTACATTAGTCATTTTCAAGTTATAGACCTCAATGTAACAAAGTAGATGAAGAAAATGATGTTTCCTAGACAGCGCTACCTGAAAAATGATGCAAGTCCATCAAATCATAGTGTTCACTTCAGCATGAAAACATCTTAAGCAATAAAACCTATTTAAAGTATTGACACCTGCTGCACTGAATTATGGCTCTAAAATTAGAAATTAGCTAGGGAATTAATAGTATCAAAATGCCATGTAAATACAATTTCATGAAGAACACCATTTTTGTTTACAGGCTTTTTTGAATGCCATCTCATTCTGAGAGGCAGTCTTACCTCACTCATTCTTTTTTTTTTACTTTCTCTTGTTATTTGTCATTCTTTATGGATTATAGACCATATTACATGAACAATAAATAACTTATTAGGTGCATAGGTTGAGCCAAACGGTATTGATTTGTTCCTATACAACCCCTAGTCTCTAGCTTCTAGGCCTTTTTGTCTGACACAGTTGGTATTCCAGATTTGATAACAGGCCAGCCCTTACCTGACTTTGCAAAGCTGGTTCACTTTGCCCCCAGTGTATCTTTGCTGCGCTCTGTTTCTTATTCTGTCTCTGTGTGTTCTGTGTCCTGTTCAGGTACTGGAGAAAGTGGCAAGAGCACCTTCATCAAGCAGATGAGGATCATCCACGGAGCCGGCTACTCAGATGAAGATAAGAGAGGCTTCATCCGGCTCGTTTACCAAAACATCTTCACCTCCATGCAGGCCATGATCCGCGCCACTGAGACCCTCAAGATCCCCTACAAATATGAACAGAACCGGGTAAGGCCTGACCTGCCAACATAAGAGCAGTATGCTACAGTGGTCCTCAGAGCCTTGTTTCTTTTATTGTGAAACACTTAACTGAGGTCTGATTTTACATCTGCATCTACACCACTGTTAATTTTGACACCTTAGTATAATTTAGTTGTAGTCTTAGGCTTTTGATGAAAATGTATAGTGGTTTTAGTCAAATGTTAGTGTTTTTATTTTTGTTAGTTTTAGCTAATAAATACTAATTATATTTTAGTCTAGTTTTTGTCATTTTTATCCTCCATTTTGAATATTTAATGTATGTCTTCATCTTTGTTGTGTTCTGTTACTATTTTCACAAATGTTTTTGACATTTGTCCTGAGGTTTATTTACACAATGTCACTCTGCTCTGTAGAAGTTGGACTCACTCGCGTTTGTACTAAAATCCTCTTCACTGGTTTCACCTCGAGAGGTGATGCTAAGTTGTAGGATAACATTAAAACTAGTGAGAACTCTGCAGCGAACATTTAATAGAGAATGATTTATGGTTGACTGAGCTTTCTTTTGACAGTACTTCCCATCATGCTCCTGCTGGGAAGTTACAGGAAGAAAGAATTGAAAAATGGAGCAGAGACAAAAGCAGTGTTTGGCTATGGCTGCGCCTGTGTGTGCAGGGTTTTGCCATTTAGGCACTGGTTGTGTTTTTCCTCTTTTTCTGTTTGCCCTGTTGTCATACTCACTGCTGTTCCACATTCTCCCTCATCCTCTATCGTGAATTTTCTCTTCTCTGTAGCTCACCTTCTCTCCCTCACCTGTGTCTTTCTAGTCTAATGCCATGCTCGTAAAGGAGGTGGACATTGAGAAGATCACTGGGTTTGACCAGCCCTACATCACAGCTATCAAAAGCTTGTGGGCTGATCCAGGGATCCAGGAGGCCTACGACCGCCGCAGAGAGTACCAGCTGTCTGACTCCACCAAATAGTACGTGTCTCCGTATCTGTGTGGCCGTGTCTCTCTGGTTAGACAACCGTTATGGTGTCTGTCTTGGATTTAAGAATGATATTTGTGTGAATGTCTGTCATGCTGGTGTGGGAACTGATACAGTTTTATCAGTGTTGTTAATGTAACAATTTATTTTTAATAATCCCAAACTATTGGATGCCTTCTTATACATATTAGCTTTTGTGGAACTTGATATTTGCCCAGCAAAATGCTGACGCTTGCCAAGATTTTAATGGGATCCTTTTGCAAATCAAAAATTACAATAATAAAAATAATTAAATAAAAAAAAAAGCAACAATGAAAAATGCCTAATAATAAAAATAGTCTCGGCTCCCAACCATGCGTAAAAAGTGTCTGTGTAAACAGTCAGATTTCATGTTGTTCATTCGCTGTTGGTTTAAGAGCAAAGAGGTGTGTGTGTGTGTGTGTGTGTGTGAGACACTGAATGGCCTTTCACCCACATTTAGTATTGGCTGACAAATTTCAAAATTCATCTAGCCTATTTCACAGATTAACAATCTGATATAAAAATATACAAACCAAAGTATGAATGCCACTATTTGGCTTTTGTTTGTTAATTGTAGTTATTTTCTGCTGTGTGTTCAAATTTCATTCCCCAGTAGCACTTTTTCTGTATGCACAGATCAAGTGGAAACTGTGATGTCAGTAATAAGAGATACACTCCTAATCACAGATTAAAAATGTCACAATGCGCATGTTATATTTGCACCTTGTTTTTTGCAGACAGATGTCAGCCACAATTACACTGTAATAATTTGTGACCCCAGGCTAAGTGACCGAAGGCACTTGACTCACTTTAATAGTTCCACCTGGTTGTGGACTTGATGCACTATAATTAAATGCTGCTTAAAGTCTGCATGCATGTAGGTGTGCTTGCTGTGCTGGGTAATATTATGTCAAATGTCTAAGCTATGCATTCGTTCTGCATGTTAACAAGTGAGTGAAAGAAGAAAAATCATTGAATATGTCTTTATTTCAGTGTTATCCACACAGTTCATGTATATCTCCAGTTACCTTAGCGATATAGACCGTGTGACTGCAGAGGAATATGTTCCCACCCAGCAGGATGTGCTGAGGGTCCGTGTTCCCACCACGGGTATAATAGAGTACCCGTTTGACCTGGAGAACGTCATCTTCAGGTACATCCAGGACTGCAGCATAATAGTGGCTAGAGGCCAGAAACCACTGATGACTGTGGGGATATTAACACATTAGTTCTAAATTGTACTCAGAAACAATAGCCAAAATCAATTAAAAAAAAAAAAAAAAAAAGATGATTTGTACCTTGTCAGTGCAATTACAAACTGGACAAATCTGCAAATGCTGCCCTACAGAGGAAACTCAGTTATACTGTGCATTTTGATAAAATAAGCCTGAGGAATAGATCAGTGGTTTGTGTTCAGAACTGTGCTGAGGTTCTAAGGCCAGACATGCTGCACTGTTGCGTGTGGGGAGCAGCTACCAAACACCAGAGGAAGGATTAGACAGTGATGTCAAAGAGTCACCTGGAATTTGTTATAATATCTGTGAGGCAAATGGCAAGTTGGAAATCTATAAGTGAGATGCCTTTTGGGGGGGGGAAAAAAGTAGGGAATTTGTTTCCCTCCATCCTTGATATCATGCTTGTCTAAGCCTTCTTTATTATTCCAGGTTCTGCTGCTTCTGCTGCTGAAGTCACTGCTACTGCTGTCACTGATGCCACTTCACTGTCTGCAACATAATCCACAAACTCCTTGACCTCTGCAAATTGTCAGTTAAAAAGAGTCTAGTAAACCCAAAGTGACAGTTACATGTTAGCAGCTAATCTCAAGCCTTTGGGCAGTTGGTTTTTGGAAGTAGATTGCTGGTGGAGCAGTGACACTTAACACCATTTTGTTTGTGAGATGGGGTCTTTTCTGTGAAGCTTCCTTGACAGGACTGACCCACACTTTCTGCTATGCCAGGGAGCATGTAGTAATTGCCTGTCACGCTTTATGTAATTGTTTTTCTCTCTTTTTGTCTCTATCTCTCTTTTTTTTTTTTTTTTTTTTTTTTTCCTCGACCTGCCTACCTGTAGTTATCTTTCCGATCTGGATCGAATTGCAGAACCCAACTATCTTCCCACTCAGCAGGATGTGCTCAGGGTGCGCATCCCCACTACAGGGATCATAGAGTACCCCTTCGACTTGCAAAGCATCATTTTCAGGTAGAAAGATGCCGATTTCTCTGAGTCCCTCTATATTGTTGTGACATCATAACTCATATTTCATCTGTGTTTTTGTCCAAAGCCCCATTGAAACTGTGATTTCCTTATTAATGGAAAGAACTTGTAACCGGTGACGTTTGACTTAATACCTCAACATTTCTCTTCAGTCGTAAAAAAAAATAATACATGATCATTTTATAGTTTTCTCCTACACCTTCCTGTACCTCCTGCCTCCAACAGCAATCGTACCACACATACAATAATACAACCAAGTCCTACATTCTGGTGCCCGGTCTCTGTAAATGGGTCACCTCCTCTCTTCCTCCTCCTCTCCTCTTTGGCTAGCAGAAAAAATTAGGTCGTTCTCGCCACGGTGGAGCAATGTTATTTTGGGCAGCAAGTCCTGCAGGGCCTATATTGGCCCCAGGTCTCTATGGACCACAGTGGACTGGGCCACCACCAGGGGGCACACTTGCATTGTGAATTTTAAAGCTGGTTTATGCAGCTTTCTCAGAGACCACATTGCACCTGGTTTGGAGGCTTACACCTGTACATCCAGAGGTGCACCAAAATCTGCAATATTAGGCATTAAATTTTACCAGCTGCTTTGACAGAAAAAGGCTCTTGGCATGGGAGATTTTACTGAATCAGTTGTCACAAATGAAGTTTTAATGAAAATGGGACCTAAACTCCCTGACGAGTGGTGGGTGACCTTGTCAAGGAGAAGCTCAGGGAAGCTGAAACCTTACGAGGATTCACACATCAGTCATTGTTTGAGCCAGGATTGCTTTTGAATGGCTTCAGTGAATGCCAGCCTGTCTACTTGCAGACACGTGCTGAAGTCAAACTTTTCATGCACATATTTGCTTAGTTAGATGTTAGTTTATAAGTTATGAATTATATATGCCATACTTCTTGAGATGAATTTTTCCAAGCTTGGAGTTTCTCATTTGTTGATGTAGGAGGTGTCCTTCCGCCATCAGAGGTGCCCCCCGTGTCTTTCATCAGTGTTTCAACTTTGCCTCCTGCCCTCTGTCTGTCCTTAGTCCACCCCCTCTCCATTTTTTTTTCTTTTGTCTGGTTTATGTCTCTCCTGTTTCATTTGCTTTCTCCAAGTATGCTTCAAACTTTGCAATTGTTGTTGTGTGGTGCTTTGTCAGGCTGAGGATGAGTAGGCTATGTAGTACAGAAATGAATGTGATACATCTCTTTGCTTTCACTACACCACAGAAGTACAGACTGATCTAGTATCAGATATAATGATAATTCCATTTATGACCAGATGAATGCCACTCCATTTAAGAATTCCAGTAAGATTTTTCATAAAATGTGAGATTGCTTGGATGCACAACTTGATAGACAGTTTAATGTACAGTGGCCTGTGTTTTTCAGTGTTGCTTGGCATATTTGTGGTTATGCAACAGCCAGTATATAAATATAAAACAAACTTGAGCCATCATGATATTTAGTGGTTGAGAATAATTTTTTTTTAACACGTATAGGGCAGGAGGAAGGGTGTATTATGCAAATTTAACATACAGATAATAGAAATTTAGCAGTTAAAACTAACTTCATTATCATCTCCAAGTAACTGATGCCACTTTCATTTTTGTGTAGTTTCTGGGTTTGCAGGAGAGCAGCTTCTGTTCAGGAAAATTGAATCGACTCCCTAAATCGAGTGGCTTTACCTTTTAAAACTGATTCTGCCTTAAGTTGGAAGCTTTCATCTTTCCAGTAGCTTGCATGACTCACTCTGAGCACTTACAGTACAACATCAAATGCATATTCACACTTCACTTTTTTCTTATTTTGTTTGTGTAGTTTTTGCCAAATAAAGAGAATTATATACATTTAATCGGGGGGGGGTGAATTCGGTTAATCCTCCATTAATCCATCAAGTCTTTAATAGATTTTCTCAAAAAAGGTGACTTGAATGAAGTCTTTTTTTAACAAATGGTCAGGACCCAGAATAAGAGCCCTACTTCTTACGTCTCCTTACATGATAGTAAAAATATGCTTTCATGTGTCCCTGGATGACAGATTTTTTTTTTTTTTCTTTTTGGGTCATGTGCTGAAAATGTTTAAGGAAGACATGTCTGGAAATTCTCAGTCATCCAGGTCGTAGTATGCTGAAAAAACTTAGAAGAAAGCATCTGAATGTAGTTTTTAGGTAGAAGACTATGTCCTGTGTGCTTTCTTCTATGTTTTTTCAGCAGTTTAAGGAAGACATCCACCAGAAAATGGCCCCAGGCCCTGAAAGAAATCTGGACTGAAACAGTTCATCTGCTGTATATGCATTTGGTTGTTTTCACTAAATCTGACTTCATGGATTCAAAACAACAACATACTGTCCTTAAAGCTATTCCGTCACCTTATCAATATAGAAACCTTGAACTTTTGTTATGTTAAACACTATTAAATCGTGAATTTGATCAATGAACATTAACTAGGCTACTCAGACTTCTGAGTTTTTGTTGTCATATGTTCTCTTCTTGCCTCTTCATTTGCTATCTTCCTCTTTGCTTTCATCTCACCATCAGGATGGTGGATGTAGGGGGTCAGAGGTCAGAGAGGAGGAAGTGGATTCACTGCTTTGAGAATGTCACTTCTATTATGTTTCTTGTGGCGCTGAGTGAGTACGACCAGGTCTTGGTGGAGTCGGACAATGAGGTATGTGGCTTATTTTTCATGTTATACACTATCTGCAACACTGAATGTTGCTTATGTATAGTCACACAAAAGAAGTATCACAGTCGTGCCATTTTGTGTTGAGTGCATCTAAATAGAGATTTGAAGCCACAGAACTTGACTTTTCTCCCACGTCTGGTCCCCTCCTCCCCACTCTCTACACCAGAATCGTATGGAGGAGAGTAAAGCTCTTTTCAGGACTATCATTACCTACCCCTGGTTTCAAAATTCCTCTGTCATCCTCTTCCTCAACAAGAAGGACCTTCTAGAGGAGAAGATTGCCTACTCACACTTGGTGGACAACTTCCCTGAATTTGATGGTGAGATCATTTATACGTTGGGGGGTCTGTGTGTTAAGTAATGCATCATTTGTCTTTGGCTCTCTCTAGGTAATGAAGGTCAGCAGTCTCCCTCACTGACGGATTATGTGCATGTGGAAGTTATTTGGTGTCGGTCTAAAACTGGTTTTAACTATAGAAAAACATTATTACATTTGATTGACCCCCTCAGGATAGACATGAAAACAATATTGGTTGTCTATCCCATTTATTTGGTTCTCTACAAAAATTGCTCTGTAACATTTAGCCCACATTCACACATGAACTGTGTGACTCATCAAGCTCTGGTACATTTGCCGCAGGATTTCAGAATTCAAACAGCTGTTATAGCCATCTGCTATTCATGGGAACTATCAAGAAGGCAAACTTCAGATCTGTATGAATGATGTGCATGTACATTAGCTCTGCAACTAAGGATTAGTGTCAGTACTGATGTAATTATTGATTAGAGATTTGTCTATAAAAGTTTAAAAATTGATTTGGGAAATACCTTCAGAGTTTGGGTGAATGTTATGAAATGACAGTACGGGGTAAAAGACACAGTTAGGATGCATTTTCAGTGACAGTCCTTATGGTGAGAAGTATATATACATGTTCACATACATCTCATTTGTCTTTAAATTTAAGGTCCCCAGAGAGATGCACAGGCAGCACGGGAGTTCATTCTCAAGATGTTTGTGGACTTAAACCCAGACAGCGACAAGATCATATACTCTCACTTCACTTGTGCTACGGACACCGAGAACATCCGCTTTGTGTTTGCAGCTGTTAAAGACACCATCTTACAGCTCAACCTCAAAGAGTACAACCTGGTGTGAGGGCTTGCGTGCCACTCACATCTCCTCCCCACTGCACAAATGCACACCTCTTTGGAAGTGTGCACTCAATTCCACGTGCATTTCACAGTTCACCATGCAGGCTCACAAACACAACACCACACACACACACACACACACACACATGTGCACATATACACACACCAACAGAACTCTCTAGATTTTTTTCCAGTACAGCACATTGACAGATACTCCCACCTGCAAGTGCAGCCCCTCCTCTTTCACCAAAGCTCGCCCTCTTTCTCCTTCACTCGGCAGCTTGTTGTGTCAGAGTCCTCGCTCCTCCTAATGCCACGCCACGTGTCAGCTCTGGCCCTGGCACATTTCAACCGGCACACAAACCTTTCACACAAGCTGTACCGTGACTGAAGGGGACTTTGGTGTTTGTCTGTGTGGTGTGTGTGTGTGTGTGTGTATTTGGGGCATTGACTAGGAAGAAGCTGTGTTTGGTGAATAGCAGCATCAAAGCCCTTTGGCCCTCTGGAGTTGACCCTCAGAGGTGTGAGAGCGGATCCTCCATCGTCTCCTTTCTGACCTCCTGGTGCTCTGGAACGAAGTGAATATTGTGTATGTGAATTCATCCAAGGACAAGTGGCACGGTGCTGAAGAAGAGATACTTTGGAGTATCAGGATGTGAGGTTGCACAGAGGACGCAAGGAGGCGGGGCTGAAGATTCTGTCTCCACCTCACATCTATGAATGTACCTACCAGTGTGAGCATCGCAATCGCAAAAAAATAGAAATATATATATTATGAAGTAAGTGCATATGTAAACACTAAGACAAACAGAGAGAGAGGGCAAAATATAACAAAACGGTCTGTTCATTGCTGACATTTTAAAAATGTTTTTAATGATAGAAATTTGTTGCTATGTGTACTTCTATTTAAGAAATAATGGCTAAATGGAATGGTGATAAGAAATGGTAAGGAAATCTTTAAAACAAAACTTTTAAACAGACATCTACAAAAAGAAGCAACCACAAATTTACTGGACATAAGTATCCTTTTGAGAATTCTCTCTTTTTACATTTAAGTTAATCACATTGCTTCCCTCCTCCAGATGTTTTCTGTATGGATTCACAGGGACAATTGTCCATGTGACCTGCACAGCATCTGGCACCACTGATACACACCCCACACTTTTATATTACAGAAAGGTAGTAGCGGGTGAGAGCGGCTGTGGAAGGAAGTGTGACGTCATCAGTGTTTAGCCTACAGAGCACATCTGCAGCTCAGTCTGCAAGTAGCTTTTTCAGCTAAATAAAAGCTTTAAATTTGACATCCCCGTGCCCTGGGACATGTGAGTGGAGTCCATGCATAACATTTTGATGATGTCACACTGCGTCTATCAGCCGTCCAATCACACACACTTCCTGACAGTGACACAGTCACCCATTATATCAGGATGTGCTTCTGTTTACTTTTTTCTTTTTAAATGTATAGTCACTTTGTTTATAAAAAGATTGCTTGCTGTTGAGTGGTGGTGGGGGAGCTATCAACCTTTCACAGAAGAAGCGCTCTGAAGTCTGCAAATGTTGTGTATATTTGTTTGTAAATACATATACACAAAACACTCCTATACAAAAATGCTCTGTGGTACACCATCTTTGGCAAAAAAAACAAAAAATTAACCCAAAAAAAATTAACTTTCGTTAACATAGTTTTTTTTTTTTCTTATAAATTTATGGTGGTATTGATACTGTGATTATGGATTTTGTTCACTTAATTAATAGGACTACACAGAGCTGAGTGGTGTTGAGAAAATGAACGGAAAGGAGCAATAGTCGGAGAAAAGACGTTCCTCCCAACCAGTCTCGCAGTTCCTCACTACTGCAACAGCTCTAGCTCCAGAGTAATACTCACTAGGGCTGGGTAAACTGTCACAGTACAATGACAAGATGATTTTAAGAGTAATTAAAGTGTTTTTCTTTAATTTATCTAATTTATGGACCAGGTTTTATGGTGTTGATAATTTGACTGCTTTTGATTTTGTCACATTGAAGCGCTCCTTTTTTTTTCATGGCGGAGCCTACTTGAGTCTGAACTGCTGTAAAAACGAATGTCTGTCTGGTATAGTAAGGACTATCTGTGCTTTCTATTTTTTACTGAGACATTTCCAGTTGTGCTTGCATCACATCTCCATTCATGAGAAAACTGTTTCTTTCAGATCCCTCACATTTGTTTGGCTTTAAAAAAAAAAGAAACTCTTGGCTTATAGATGCAGTGCTGTAATGCATACCTAGAAAAATGTACAGTATGGATATAGGTGGACTTTTTTTTTTTTGTTTGTTTAATCAGTGATTGAAGACCTGTGCGGTCCATGCTTGCTATTTGTAATTTACAAAAAAAAAATATTTTTTTGCGTTTATTTCCAGGTTTTTTAGGCTTGCTTTGATAGTGCCAGTGAAGTGCAGATATACTTTTAGGGTCTGTGACCTTTTTCTACAGGTGACTTATCATTCATCTTCATTAAGGGCTATCACAGTGTATCAGGCATTAGACAGTGCGAAGTGGAGCACAGGACCACGGTGAGCCAAGTCATCCACTTCTAATCCTTGTTTATAAATGGAGATTACTCACAGTATGTGCTGTAAAAAGTATAGGCAAGGTATGGACACAAACATAAGGTTCGTGTGTGTGTAGAGACAGTTTACCAACACTAAGCAGTTTTCTTTGCGTTTCCTGTATTTGGCCTGTTGGTGAATTAGATGGACCCAATACTTGGCTTCCTACTATTAGTTTGATTGCAATGGTATCACAGTGTTATGTGTAATACCTCATGTATTGTAGAAACACTTATTACTGCAAACACTACTACCAGGACAAGTATTACATTTTCCCTAAGTATTTGATGTGTAGCTGATAGCCAAGAAATCTTAATTACATGACCGTACTGGTGGGTTTGCATGTTTTAACCCATTAACTCGAAAGCTTATAATGGTACTGACCATTTTACAGCTTATAGATTCTTTCTGGGCAGCTGATAATTTTTATTGATGTGGGTAAGGTTTGAAAGGTACCTTGCATAGAGAGAGATATTTGGCAAATTGTTGCTCTTTGGTAGTAGAAGGTTCGTGCTACAGTATGTAACTTAAGGTAGTGCTAGCATCAAACATCAAATTAATCCAATCTGCTACACCCAGCACTCGTTCGGCTATGCTCCACTAGGCCCTGTGCAGCTCTTCAGATATTTGTCTTTATGAAATTACAATAAATAAGAATGCAACAAAACTTACTGATCAAGCAGAAATAAGTCTGATTGGTTAGAGAGGTCAGTCATGCTCAAAACCTTTTAGAATCTAATATGTCTCTGCACTGCTGCCAGTGCCGTTCAACGAGTCTGGGTCACAGGAGGCTTCAACAGCACCGCTCCACATTTGGAGCATATTTGTACAACAGAAATATTTGAAAGAAGTTGCATACTGTAGCTCTAAATTTCAAATCCTGAACATGAACACAAAGTACTAGTCCAAATAAAAAGCATGCACAGATCCTTTTTCTCCTCAACTCAGTATCTGCTGATACCAAATACCCATCCAGCACTAGTGCTTCTGTTTTTATTTTATCTGAATACCTCACTGTACGTGTGCTCAATTGGATCATTTTGTTAACGAGACCAGGGATTTCTGTCAGAGGTACATCATAACTGAATGAATGCTGGAGAAAACACTAAATTTAATGACACTAACAAAGAAGCTTTGGTTATTGTGGATCAGTTATGTTAGCCAATAGCTGATCACTAAATGTCAACATTTTGTGCTGCTGTTGAACCATTACAATGAAGATGTTTTCATCGGCTCGTGTTCTCACCTGTTGATCTTTTTATAAAGATGACACCCACTGCAGGCTGTCAAAGAGAGGGGGAATCAGTCTAAATACTTAGGATAAAAAAAAAGGTCAACTGTGATCTTAAAGTCTGAACACTAAGTTAATGGGGAGAAAAAAAAAACATGCCAGTATGGTCCTTAACTGCCACTTTGTCTGCTGAACATGACCCTAACCTCGTGCTCAGAAAATCAGACAACCAACCATTAGACTGCTGTCATAAAGACAGTGCCACTATTGAAGTAGAATGATCTACTAGTACAGATACCCAAGTATTTATCAGGAGTTAAGGTGTACAGTACTGTGTGTTCGAGTGCAGCTCACGTTATGTTGTGTTCTTTAACTAGACACTATGACTGGCACAGGGTGAAAGGTCGCCTGGCTGTTGATGTTGGTTTGATAGTATGTGAGCAGCCCAGTGTTTCACAGTGGCTTTATTTTTTTTTTATTATTTTTTGACACTTTTTCTCAACATGTATGAGCTGGAAAGAGGACAGGAACTCTGTATGATGCTTCAGTCTCTTTCATCGTTTTTTTTTTTCTTTTGCCTTAACCAGTGAAAAGACTGGATTTTTTTTATTCACTAGAACACACTTATTTATTGCCTTTCATTGCCTTGAATAACGAAAAATAGTATCTGTGGTCCATTATGGTTCCAGACCTTTCAGTGGCTGAGGCAGTGTGATGTCTCTTCCTGTGGGTGCTTGTTGGAATAAGGACAGAGTTGCTCCATATTCAAACATGTAAGCTTGTTCCTTTTTTTGTTGTTGTTGTTTTCCCCTTCTCTGTATAATAAGACATGACTAGAACACTATTACTTAGGACCACTTGATTTATTTTTCCTCACTCAAATGAAACCTGAAGCTTAATTGTGCAGTGTTGTATAAAATGCTGTTTTCCCCCCTCTTCATTTTGTATGTAAACCAAGTGTAATTGATGTATTATACTGTGTGCCAACCCCACTATCTCTAGAGCCCGGCTCTTTCTAAGTGCCAACGCTGTGGTCAACAGAAGGACCACCACCTGAGCTGTTCCCCATTTTTAAATAAAACACCCAGAGGCAAAACAGATAGATGATTAGGTACACACAAAGACTTTATTCTGTATTTAAGATTAAAGAATTAAAAGCTAATCTGCTGTTTTTTTTTTTTTAAGAAATTGTAATTATAAATGCATGTGCTGTTTATTTTGGATGTTTTCATTGAAGAAGAGCCCTTAATAAAGGGGGTTCAATCAGCTAATTATTGATTATTGATTTACATAACTCTTGCCATTTTTATGTGTTTCATGTATTTGTTTCAACCACTGTTGCCTGATCCTCATTCAAACATGAACATAAGATCATTACCGCCTTCTAAGAGAGAAACATAATGACAAGGTATCTGTTTTAAATTTAAATAAATTTGTTCCTATACTTGCTCATGGTGTATAGTAGGTGTGTTTCATGATTTTAGAGGCTGTGTGTATTACATTGTAGTAGTGTGTGGATACCTGAACTGAGCCCGAGGGTTTGGGCCGGATTTAGACAGAAATTTAGAAATGATGTTCAGGTCTGGGTCAGGTTTGGACAGGTAGGTCAAACTTTAGGTAGACAGCTGGAGCACTCAAATGTCTGCTTCATTTAATTATAGGGGGGCACCATACAAAGTCAACAGTGTTGGGTTCAGGTCAAGTTCACACGTATACTATAAGCTTGTCAGGTCTGAATCAGGTTCAGACAGAAATACGTGGCCCAATCCCTGCTCTAGTTTGAGGTCAGGCATCAAATATTCACTTTGTGAAGTATGTTTTTCTTTATCATAGTAAATTTCAGGAACAATTATAGCGATTTACAAGAACCTAAAGTGACATCTAAAATTATTTTCAATAAAAATTTTTGCTTAGTTTTTTTTTTCCTGATTGCATATAAATTTTCTGATTGTGCAGACTTTGAGGCCTGCTGTTGTTGGTCAGCTTTTCTGCTCCCAAAGCACAAGTAACTTATGAGTATTGATAGTAGTGATGCGCAGTGAAACTGGAACTTTTTGAGGGCCTGATCATAATCCAGTCCGGTGTAGCTGCTGTAGGGAGCGGAGTCTCCGGCGGGTCAGTTCAGCTCGGTGCCACACGGGGCGCCCTCTCGTCCGCTGCTCGGTTTGTTTTCCGCGTGATGCTGGTCCTCTCTTCAAAAGCAGAGGAAGGTCGGTGGCTCATGTGTCAACAACCAGGGCGAAACGCTAACGTTATATCATAAAATCTGATGTTCCGTTGAAGACGCTTTTATTTTTAACCTGTTCATCGTGGAAAGCGGCAGTGTTTCTGACTGCAAACAGAAGAAGACGATCTTCGGCTCCGACTGCTTTGACATTAGCTAACGTTACTTGAAACGATGACACAGTACATGCGAACAGCGTCTCCAATCATTTAATATCTGGAGACCTGTTAGCCTAGCCACCTAGCCTGATTATTCGAGTAGAGCAAGGAAACGCAGAGAAACACACTGCTGACATGATGTTTCCTCAGTCAAGGCACTCGGTAAGTTGGCTAGTTTAACTCGTCCCAGTTGAAAACAGGGCAGCAAATCGAGCTAACGGTAGCTAGCAACCGACAGCTGATACAAGCACAAGCTGCAGGGAGCTGCGAGCTTGTCTCATGGTGCCAGACCTGTGCACGTATTTACACGACGTTTGCACCGTTATAATGCAGGAAAGGTGGCATCTAAAGATTCGAAGTAAATCTAGCTACTTGATGCTTTTGTTGATAGCTTTACTTGGCTTCAAAAACGGTGTGTTGCTAGCTAATGTTACTCAAAGCAGCGAATTTGAGTTCAGTCTAACGTTAGAAGAGTAAGTTAGCTTAGTATTATTCTGCTTAGTCTGTATTTCTATTGCCGAGCAAAATCTACAGGGCGCATGGACTAGGTCTAGTTTGCTTGGATGATATTTATCTCTAAAATGATTTAATTAAACAAATACTGCTGCAAATATTGTGGAGGAATAAAATTAGACCAGTACCTGCTTTTCAAAGCTAAATTATGCCACTCGTGTGTATTTTAAGTCCAAGTCATAACCAGCAAATCTCAAACTAACTGTATGATAAGCTACGGTCAACAGCCAACTTGTGAAGAAAAATTACCTTTACAAGCAACAGCTAAGTCAGGAAATGGCTGCAAAATTAGACACTTGTTGAAAAAGGCCTTAACTGAAGCACCACTGCAAACACTCCAACAATAGTGGATCATACTACAGCTGTTTGCATGCAAATGAGCACCAGTAGTGATTGCATTAAAAATAATAATTGATAAATCAGTTTATATTAATTGATCATAATCAGTTGGTTTGTAAAACGGCACAAAAATGCCAATCACAGTGCCCAGAGGTCCAAGGAGTCACCTTCAAACAAATCATTTTTTACTTTTTGCTTCTCTCTGATAGAATAGAAGACATCTCAGATTAGTTGTTAATAAAAATAATTGTCTGCAGTCCTGTTTTATATCTAAGATAACACTATAAGAATTACAGGACCAGCTAGTGCCACATATGCTGCACTGAGCAACACCCAGAGCAGACAATTACCCTTGCAAACCAAAGGTGAGGAAGTGCTGCATAAGCATGTACAAAACAACACAGACCAATAACAAAAGCACCAATGCAAACATTTCCCATAGTGGTGTCACATGGGCATACCCGGATGCATAAAAAAAAAAAAAAAAAAAAATTTCTTTTGTTTAAAATGTGAATATTGTATACAGTGGTCATACATTCTCTAGAGCAAGTTTTCTTTAAGGACCTCTGTATTTGGCAGTGGTCATGCTTCCCTCAGTTCTGACAAGTCTCCCTGTCTCTGCTGCTGAGGACCGCCATAGCATGATCCTTCTCTATAGGGACTGTAATAGCCTGGTGGTCCCAAATATCTTCTGTTTCACAATTATTGAGCCCACTGTGCTCCTGGGAACACTCAGTCTTAGAGCTGGTTTTATGCTCTACGCTCCTCCACAGTTTTATCATGGAGGCTCCTTGGACTTCATGGGTTGGTTTTTGTTCTGTCATGCATTGTGAAAGGCACACACCTATGTCCAGTCACTTTAATTTGCCACAAGTGGATTCCAGTCAAGTTCTAGAGACATATCTGAAGGAAAATTAAAGCAGGATGCACCTGGCCACAATTTGGATTGCAACAGCAAAGGGTGTGAAAATTTGTGTAAATGAGAAGTTTCCATTTGAATTTGCAAAACTTTTTAAAAATAATGTTTTCACTTTGTCATCACGTCATTGAGTGTAGATTTACAGTATGTGCAAATATGACAATTTTATTAATTTAAAGTTCGACATACAACAGAAACATCTTAAAAAATTGAAGTGGTCTGAATGCTTTCATCATGTGACCAGTGTTCCCCTTTCTGAGGCAAGGCTGTAACAAAGACCTTGGGAAGATGACAGGCATACCACTTTAGTTTCACTTCTGCTGGCTTCTAATAAGAAATCCTTAAAGCCCTGTGAAGAGTAACTATTTTCTGACATTTAAATGATCAATTAGAATAATTGGTTATGAAATAGTAATTGTAAATATCATTTTGAATTTTGGCCTGATAAAATTACTTAAACAATTCATTGACTGCCAAAATGTACTATTGCTTTACTGTGTTTTTGTTCAGTACCACAAATTAATGAAGTTTGAATTTTGGATGCAGAGTTTCAGCCCCTGTGCAACTGGGTGACGCTCTGTTGAATCCCATAAGCCCATTTGAAACCTCTTGCTCTTGTGCCGCTTTAGAGATTAATGAGGTTTAGGCCACTGGATAAAACCTAGATTACAGCTTTAGACTCATGGTTTGTGTGTAAGTCTATACAAAGCCAGATTTATAATAGAGCCTCTAAATACCTCTCACATATGGTCAGCATGGGCATACTTTAATCTCACCTTCTATAAACACAGGTCCTCAACACACTTCTTTCCTGAAAGTGCGGGCTTGGTGTTTCTGTGCTGAGACATGTTTAGTCGAATAACAGTTTTGGTCCTTGTGGTTTTAATAAATTAAACTTGGAGCAGCCTTTATGAAAAGAATCCATTTCTGACTTGGATGCAGGGATCTTTGTGAGCGTACTTTATGCCTCTGTGTGGGGTTATGAAAACTGACCATGTTGTTGTTTCATTGTTTCCCAGGCGTCGTCTCAATCCAGTCAGTCTCTGAAGTTCACCACTTCTGACTCCTGTGACCGCATCAAAGATGAGTTCCAGTTCCTTCAAGCACAATACCACAGGTACATGCTCGCTCGCTCGCTCACACACACACACACACACAGTCTGGGTACAATAAAATCAGTGATTTGTTTTTAAACACATTATACATATTAGAAAATAGTTACCTAAATTATGAAAAGGCTATGAACTATTTAATACTGAATTGTTGAGTTAGACTATTAGTTATTATTAGACTATTAGCACAGTTTTTGTTTTTTTTTAAAGAAGGAACATTAATGCAGTTGCTTCAGTGTTTAATAAAGGTAGAAACCTAAACAGTGGACATGGCAGAGCAGGTCTGAAGTCACTGTAGCTAGTGGAGGGAGACGGACGTGAGGAAGATAAGGTAAGAGCCACAGCGGACAGCAAAGCTGCTCCACTGGGCTTATCACCACAGTTAGCTATTAGCCTAATAAGCTTTCTATGGTCAACACATACCAGCTGCAAATGGCAAACTCTGGGCAAAGCTGAAATGATTGCTTCTCTGCAAGTCTATGCTAGCTTAGCAGGTGTTTTGATAAATTATCATATTTTCCGATCCACTAACCTCATCCACTGGTCTCCTTGAGTACTTTTGAAATGCTGCCGGCCCAAACTGAGAACCAAGGTAACCGGAGTCAGTCGCACTAGTGCGCCTAATTACTTAGATTTTTACTCGCATATGAGAGTGAAATGCTGGCATTGGGTTTTGTGCGTCATGTGACACCCCCAGTGTTTAGAGAGTGCTCATTTTTTTTAATGATTTTGAAACCTAATTTTATATATTTGCCCTTTTCTTCTCATTCAAATTTGGTTGGCTGGTTAATAATACATTTTCCTCTAGTGTGACAAATTCCATATTGACAGAAAAACACAGAATTTTTGACATTATTGCAGATTTATTAAAAAAGAAAAACTGAAATATGATAATAAATGATTTTAGCATATGGCTGCAATATAACAAAGAGTGAAAAATTTAAGGGGGTCTGAATACTTTCCATACCCACTGTATGTTTGTTTCTTCTTTGCCTGGACTTTAATATTAGAAGCCCAACACCATTATAGGAAGTTACCAGAGGTAATGATGCATCTGTCCTGCATAAGTTTAGTCAGAAACATTTTTTTTAAACAAAAGGACTCAGAGGGCGCATGTATGTCCAAAGGTGGAAAATAACTAAGTACATTTACTCAAGTACTGTACTTAAGTACAGTTTTGAGGTATCTGTACTTTATTTTCTCCTACTTCATACTTTAACTTCTACATTTCAGTGGCACATATTATAATAATTAATAAAGGTGATTATTATTATTTTTCTGTCTTAACAGTTTGAAGTTGGAGTGTGATAAACTGGCCTCTGAGAAGTCAGAGATGCAGCGGCACTATATCATGGTATGTCTGTTGTAATTTCTTGTCAGTGCAGTGTGGCTTTTTATTAGTTGACTCCTACAATATACCAACGTACTTAGTGAAGTGTGTGTCACTCCTTCACTGTGTTAGTTTTGTTGTTAGTGTATAAACTGACTTTTAGTTGTTTTGAGTTTGCAGTATCCAGGCATTGTTAATACATATAGTACACCAGTTTGTGTGTGGGATCAAAAGGTACAGAAAATATGTATATTATGTTTTTCTCCCCTTTTGTATTTGTAGTACTACGAAATGTCCTATGGGCTGAACATTGAAATGCACAAACAGGTGATTCCTCTCTATAATGCAGTTTTTTGTCGTCCCATGTCTTGTGTTGTTCTGGTCTGACCTTGTTTCATTTGTTTTCTTGACAGGCAGAAATAGTGAAGAGACTGAATGGGATTTGTGCTCAGGTGCTGCCTTACCTGTCTCAGGAGGTAATGAAACACACATCTTCATGAAGTGGCTGAGAGTCTCTGGCCAATAATTTTTTTTTTTTTTAGTCTTATAAATAACTAGCTCGTTGTGTGTGACAGTGGTGCGTCTTTGTTCCAGCATCAGCAGCAAGTCATGGGCGCCATAGAGAGAGCCAAGCAGGTCACACCTCCTGAGATGAACTCTATTATACGGGTGAGCTTTATAAATGATATAGTGATTATAATGCCACTGGAAGCTGCTATATTTCTGTACATTCCAGCTCAGGTGTGGCTGCAGTTGACACTCAGCTACAATGTACATCCCTTTTCTCCACTCCATTATTGTAACACAGCAGCTCTATTTTAGAGTGTGGATACCTGAACCAAGCCCAGTGGGAACCACCAATACCTGAGGGTTTAGGCAGAAATTTAGAAATTATGTTTGCGTCCGTGTCGGGTTCAGACAAGCAGGTCAATTTTTTGTCTCCATGATTGGCTGCATCGTGTTAAAAACAGACACAGAGGAGGAGCTGTTCGCAGACGCTCTGTTGTCATTGTGTGAGAACGCGTGACAAGGAGAGGCTGAGCCAATCAGTGCACTGTGCAGTGAGTTGCAGTGACTTTTAATTTGGCCAGGCAGTGTACATTCACATTTGGGTCACCAAATTCAAGGGCTTGGTGGCTCGTGGGGCCAGTGATTAAAATATTAGCATCTATCCTTGACTATTGAGGGAATACATTGGAGGTGAGATGGAAAACCCGAAATGTCCTATAACTCAGTGTCTTTACTATGTGTTTGCAGCAGCAGCTCCAGGTGCAGCACCTGTCCCAGCTCCAGGGCCTGGCCCTGCCCGTGACCCCGCTTCCCCTGGGCCTCACCCCTCCCACCCTGCCCGCCGTCTCCTCCAGCTCCGGCCTGCTGTCCCTGTCTTCCATCCTGGCCAACTATTCCCACGGCCAAGCCCAGGTGGTAAAGGAGGACAAGGCCCGGGACACCGCAGAGAGAGCACCCAGAGGAGAGGATGGGGACAAGTCAGACTAGTGCAGAGACAGCGAGGAGGTTTGGAGGGGGGTGTTGTGGGGTGAAGTGATAAAAAAACAAAAAAAACAAAGTAAAACTGTAAATGGAGACTGCAAGTCTGGCCGCCTGCCTGATGTGTGTTGAAGTCGAAGAGTAAACTGCAGGGATGATGATGATGAGCAATGAGAACGCAGTTAAAACCTTTGAGAATGAAACTGCTGATTGGCTGAGAGTGAGAGTTAAATGCTGTTAATATTTAGTGGTCACAAACTCAGATCAGGCTTCTAGAATTTAGTTGCTTTTTAGCGTAAGCCACTGTTGTTGGGCTTAACCAAGGATCAGTGTTTTCCCATTTGAAGTGAGAGCTGAGGATAAAGGCTAATGGCAGTTCCCCCTTATGTGGACCCCTCTCTCACAGGGTTTTTTTCCCCCAACTTTGTGTTTTAAGAGTTGTTTTTCAGGTCCTCTTTAGTCCCTCCAGTTGATTCTAAGGGCCATGACACATCAAACCAGTGGTCGACAAAGGTGATGTAAGGCGACGCGACAGTCGGCCTTCATTGCTGCTAGTTCCTTCACATTGGTGTGGTGTGTCTCTGCCCTTACTGACCCTGTTTGCAGGTCACAGTAAACAGTTTTACCAATATTTCAGTTCTATTTCCATATTTTCCTAAATAAATAGCATTAGAGCTGCTTGGCTATGTGTATTTGGAGCCAAATAAAATTTTTGTCCCATGTTAAATGTTTTAATTTTTTTTTTAAAGGACATTTCCCTTGTCAGGTGCATTTTTGTATGACCGACCGCTGGATGCATTACCTTAGCTGTGTACGTCAAACCCAAACAAGTGGAATTTTATTCCATTTAAAACCCTAGTTTGTACAAGTGGTAGTATACACAGCTTTTGTTTGACAGGCCTAGCTACTGCCGCTATGCTCGCGACAAGGTTTGGACCATGACTCATCTTTCAGTGACAAGAATTTACACTCTAAAAGTTAATTTTTTTCAATTAGCTGTTTTCCTGACGTTGAAGACAGGCTATAATTGGTTCATAATTGTCTGTGTGCTCGAGTGAATGTGGCTGGAAAGAAGAAAACACTTAATTTTTGTTTTTCTGAGAGCACTTTTTGTATTTTCCTCCTCCTCCTCCCACGCTTTTTTCTTGCAAGTCTGCGCTTAAACTTGAACAGGAACTAAATTTCATAACCAGGCAAGCACTGCATATCTGTTAGTTAGCAGAGCTCTTTAGTTTATACTGGGACTGCATCAAACACCTGCCTTGTTACATTTGTGTGTGACTATTAGGGGAAGAATGAAGAACGTGTCCTGAGTGAGTTGCTAAAGCTCTGTAAGCAACGGCAAACAAGCGCTCCCTGAGAAAACACATTTCTCACAACCAATATTTGTGCTGACAACCAGATTCTAGTGCCCTGTAAAGAGAGGTTTTTAATCTAAACATTTTAAAACGAAAGCTGTGTCCCAGCTTCATACGTCATACTAATTCTGTAGACTATATATATTGTCTGCTTTCCTGTAGAGTATACGTTTCTTGTAGTCGTTATACAAGAAATGAAATGTAGTGTTTTGTATTACCCAGGAAGAATAATCGGTGTTTAATAACATTTCAGTGCCACTGTAAATCACACACAGAGCAAACGGTTTTATCCAAATGTTTATTATCCAACAAATGCTAATCCAATATCAATTTGCTTATACCTAGAACATGCTTGAATGGAGTAGGAAGAAGTCAGACTTATCCAGTCCTACCCCCTGACATCATCTTACCATCATTGGTTTGCAAGCAGTATCTCTACATAAATAATTCTCTTCTACACCACACCCACAATTGTCCATGTAATTAAACTCGTCAATTCTATTACTATTTTTTATGTCCACACTTAAATTATTCCATAGTTTTACTCCACTTATGGAAATACAAAATCTTTTTTTGGTTGTACGTATAGCATGAATTTTTAAATTTAACTGACCCCTTAAATTGTATCCCCCTTCCCTTTCATTAAATAGTTTTTGAATTCCACCAGGTAATAAATTGTTCCTGGCTTTATACATAAAGTCACACCATTTCTTTATCTTCTCAAGTTCCTGTGAAACCCGTCCAGAGAGTTGCTGTAGGTTTTCACCCGATGCCCATATGGTAGTGTCATCCGCAAACAAAACCACTTTCACTAAATCAGAAACCTTGCATATATCATTAAT